TGACCGAGAAATCAGTGGTGTGCAGGTCGCCAGCATATTGCTCCTCCAGCTACCCACCTACTACACAGTGAACTACACCTTTACCCGCATCAACCTCTGGTGGCTAAGGCGTTATGTACGCGCAATCGTTCGCCCGGGGGACGTTCCAAGTAGCAACACTTCTGACCCCATAGCAGAAGAACCTTGCACGTATGAGGCTGGTGACACTATCCCCGTGAGCATCTTTGACAATTATAAATGGCGCGGACCGCACCTGGCCTCTCTTGCGCTCTTTGAATACTGCATGCTTGTAAAAACCAGGCACAGTCGCGATGCTATCGCGGACGACATAGACTTCGATCCAAGCCACCCTAGATATACCACGCATGTACAGCGCCTGGCGCGCACCCTGTCCCAAGTGGCCACTGTAACTTTCAGCGGTCAGCTAACCGAATTCCAGGTCGCGGAAGACACTGTTCCCGGAGGCCACCCAAAGACGACCGCGATCTTGAATGATGTTGCCGGACTATTATTAGGCCTCTTTGTTCCCTGGGACCACTTGACTAATCTCTTCCGACGGTATGCGACACAACGGAATGCCTGCGTTCAAGTATGGGCGGCCGTTGAGCCAACCCTCGCGTTTCACAACCGAGCTTTTGCGAGAAACATTGACCTCCTGCGAAAATCCAAGGAAGACTGCCAGGCTGACACAAAGCTGTGGAGGTCTGCAAATGGCCCAGCTGATTCGCTTCAACAAGATGCTGATGCGATTGGATCCGCAGAGTTTGATTCTGATGGCGAAGCGGGCGATGAATTCTTTCACCTGCACGATGAGAATTTTAACGCAGAGACATTGATCGCCGCCTACCACACCGTTACCAATGCATGGTATCGAGAGATGCTGCTCACTGGACGGCGGATCCCTCCCTTGCTCAGTGCGATAACCCTAACACGACGGTTGCTCCTACAGAACTTCCAGCCCCTGGATATCTTTCACACTCGTGCATACGATTCTTCTGGCCTAAGATTCCTCCCATCGTCCACGTTACAAGAATGGGAGTTTCGACTGAAACACTTCGCTAATCTTTATCATGAGGAAAGCGCGGATCATCATGCTGCGACCTCTTGTTTTGCGCTTGACGATTTCGACGTCCAGACTGAAGATGGCATCTTGCAACCTATGCTCGCTAGCTCGGACACGATCCCTGCAATGGATGATCGCCGATCCCGGGTTGGCCAGAATCCCACTGGTGCCTCTCTTGCGTCCCTGGTCAGTGAAATGATCCCCCTAAATTGGAAACAACGAATGATCGTCGAGAGGGTGCTATCTGAAGCTTTGGCCTGGGCGGACCACCCTTATGACTCGACCCGGCGCAAGCAGACCCTCCTCTATATTGGAGGAGAAGGTGGCACGGGGAAGAGCCAGATTGTCAAGGCAATTGACGCCGGTATGGACCTTCTCGGACGGAAACACGAGGTCATCGTCATGGCGCCAACGGGTGCCGCGGCCGACAACATCGGAGGGAATACCTACCACACATCTTTAGGGATCTCCATCAACCGCTCACGAGGAACTGCAATGAGTTCTCGAGTGAGACGACTCTGGTCTCGCAAAACCATCATGATCGTGGACGAGATAAGCATGATGGATCTGACCATGGTCAGCGTGATCGATAATCACTGCAAGATCGCGTAGTCCCTGGACAGATCCTCCACCGATCTTTTCGGTGGTCTCCCCGTCGTTATCTTCATCGGCGACTTCTTCCAGTTTCCACCCGTTCGGGGCCCTGCACTATGGAAGGAGCCAAGAAGGGGCGCAGGCGAGGATGAGAATGGTCGACTCCTCTGGCATCAGTTCAGACAAGTAATCATCCTCGATGAGCAAATGAGACAGTCAGAAGATGCTCCATTCCGCGATCTCCTATCGCGGGCCAGGATAGGGACTTTAACTGAAGCTGATCGATCCGTCCTTAACAGCAAAGCGATCACGTCCTTGCTCAGCCCTCAACTAGAAGATGCCACTACAGTCGTCAAGCTAAACTCTCTGCGTCACCAAGTGAATCGCGTTCGAATAGAGCAATTCGCACGCATCCGATGCCAAAATGTCTATATTTTCCCTGCGCATCATACACGGACCAAATCCACTGGCCCTATCAACCTCCGACTTCGTGCCGATGACTTGCTCCAGCAGCCGGACCAAGGCACGAAGATCCCTTTCCCGGAGTTCCTCTTGTACACCCCGAATATGCCTAGCGCTATGTTGACCAACATCTGTACTCTGCTCGGCCTGGTCAATGGTGCTGTGGGAACTGCTATAGGAGTTGTGGTAGATCCGACTGGTGGGTTAATCTTTCATGACCGGTTAGAAACCTACGCTCCTGACACCTCCCCACTAGCTGAATTCTTTGAAATCGACGACCTCTATATAATGTGCACCAAACCTCCTGCCTGTATTTTATTAAAGCCGGATAAAGTAAGGGCCACAGGATTTGAAGACCTTGAACCTTCCGTCATGCCAGTCTTTCCACTGGAGCGATCTATCACCCTGAAAGGCTATTCAGTGCGAAGGAAGCAAGTCCCTATGTGCCCCGCTTTCTGCCTCACCGACTGCAAAGTGCAAGGCTCGACCCTTATAGCAGCGATCCTCGATCTCAAAGATGACCCTACCATTCGGGGACAAGATCGTCACCGGAAGTATTGCTCGATGTATGTGCAGCTATCCCGACTTCGATCCTCCAAGGGACTTCATCTCCTGCAGAAACTCGACATGCAAGATCTCCGATTCGGACCTGGCCCTCAACTGCTAACTGAAATGCGAAGACTCCAAGAGCTCGAAAAGGAAACAATTGCTGCGTGGCAGGACGCTTCGAACATGTGAACCTATGCTCCATAGTTATAGAATAAGACTATCCCGTAATGACATTTATTATTCAGACTGGGATGTCATTATGTCGTAAGCATAAAACAAGTCCAAGTCCAAGTCACACGTAATCCTCTCTCGGCAGGCGGATATTCCCCCTGTCCTGAGTCACAAATCCGTTCGTGCCACTTTGACCTTTCGCGTATCGTTTCTCCCATCCTTATCCAATCACACCTTACACCCCACTATACTATGCAGCTTGTCGGGCGTATAATTGCCTGATCGTTACGGACGTGCATCGAACTTTGCAGCGACCCCTTACCAAAACCAAGTGTACAAACTCAACGTAATCACTCTACTCGCCATTACTTTTCGCACATTTCGTTTCAGGGCCACAGCGTGCGCAGCGCGCGTCACCAGTTACAATCAATCAATCGCATATTCATGATGATTCCGGTAGTCCTCATTTGCCACAATGTTTACTAGTTCGTACGCTTTTAGCTGGCTCTGACACAGGGCCACAGCGTGCTGCAGAGCGTCACCAGTATATAACCCGACTAGTCTATATCGGGTAATAGGCTAGCCTATTTAGGCAAGGGTTATCACGTGAATCCCACCAAATTCTAATATGACCATCGCCCCCCAACATACTGTCAAGTAAAGTGGGGTGGTAAAATACACCCGAAATAGTTTAGTTTCATTTGTGTCGTGATTTCTTTGTTTGTACTAGGGGATTCTCGACACTCCGAGAATCGGGACTTTCAACCGCCCTTCCCTACTCATGTAAGCAAGGACACCCTAACAGGTCCTCGCATTATTCGCTCTTTTCATTTCTTCAATTAATTCATCCTATCTTTTGGATTGGTTCCCCTTGGTAGATTAGCCCCATTCTTGCATACAATGCCAAACTGTTTTAAGCTTGCTTCACAATAGGTAATTCTGTTTGCTAAGAAGCATCAACTGCTACTTCAATACTACATTTAGGGCGTTAATACTTGTCGAGGATAGTGGAGCAGTTACTGCTGCCTCCTATTGGTTTCCTTAGTTCCCCGCCGTTCCTTTATCTTTTATATGTAATTACGGGGTTCCGAGACAACACTTACAAGTCACTCTCGAGTATTGGAAAGGATCGAGATTTGCCGGAGTGGAGAAATCAGAGCCCAAAGTATCGGTTCCTACATCTGGACTGGGGGCAGACTGGGGGGTTGGATACGAGTATGTTTCCAGAGGCTGTGGTTTTGGCGGATAAATCTACGAGTTCGAAGGTATGGGCGAGATACTGAGATCGTGGGTGAACTCACTGAACTCACTCCAGGAAGTGGCTGCCGTGTGATCTACAGACATAAATTCAGTACATACGGTGTTGAATAAATTGCGTAGCAAATCAGAGCAGAAGTTGAAACGGAACAAGCTATGTACCGTCATTTTCTCCAACCTGCGAGTCCAATAAGACTTGATTTTTGGGCATGTCGAGACCAGGCATGGTTGGCATCAACGATAGAGTACCCGCTTTGGCGGCCACATCCTGCCTCTCGGCCTCTGGAAGAGATTGAAGGGCTAGGAGGTTATATCGAACCAAAGCCGGGAACTGACAATCGATACCGAAGCCTTCAGTCAAAATGGAGAGCAAAATCCCAGAGGCTTTTCATCCTTCTCACAACAGAGGTGGCTAAATTGGTACGAGGCCTCCATATACTTCATAAAATGTCTTGAAGACGGTTGCTGCGTGATTTTGATCCTATATACGCAATACTAGTATGTACCTCGACAACAGCCGTGTCAAGCCAACTTTTGTACTCCATAACGTCGTTAGAACCCATCCCGAGACGGACCACGTTTCCGCTCCTTCCAAGCTATCCCAGGCAGCCTTGCTGCTCCCGATACAATCTATCCTGGGACAGATCACGTATCCGTACGCACTAGTAGCGAGCATGAGCTATCGAGCAAAGAAATTGGGATGATTGATTGAATGAGTCTGTGTCCCCGATCTGTTGAAACGATTCAAGGGCTCTATACTGCGTGTTGAAACAGGGTTTCCGGTATGATCCTGATTAGTTACTGGGCGGGGGCTGAATAACCCATGCCATGCTGGCAGTGATATAGCGGTGTATTACCCCATCTCAAGTTGACAGAATACCATCTCCCCATTCGATATGATCTTCTATTTGCCGGCCTTCTTAGCCGCCATTCTAAGGCGAGTAAGTTGCTTTTTCCAATTAAAGCACTGACTGCAACCTTTGAAAATGTTAGCAAACAAAGCCAGATTTCCCTTTGCAAGATAAAGACTCCCCAGCCCGATCTTCGTGGTATGTGTCAAGGAAAGATGGACCCACCAGCACTTCCATGCTTCTCGCACACATAGTCATTATGCTCGTTCTGGCGGACCGAAGGGACATGCAAAGCATCACGATCTATTGGGTCAAACTTCATGGCAAAGCTATTAGGTACCAACATTATACATAATGCCAGGCTTAAGTGAATAGTTACACCAAAAAATGCATCATTTTCTTCGCGACTATCATTATCGCAGTCCTTGCACTGTTAAAAAGCGTTATTAAGGTCCCGCATGAATATATTTTGACATTTATCCTGGATTGGACAACATGAGATTCATTGGACACTTACCACTTCTTGCTTATGGGAACTGCAAAATACAGCGTCATTTATTTCGATCGTGGAAGCCATTGTAGGTGATGAAATTGATTGATAAAGATTCATGATTGTGGGAAAGGCGGGGTTAAATCAGATTCGAGCGGTCTGTCTTCACCTACGGAAAGTATGCTGATTAGGTACATAACGTAACCCGGAAACGAACTGTGCGTTATGGCCCTCACAATCACCAATCCGCGAGGGGCCACAACCTGCAGATGGGCCTCCCTGCTGACACTAACGGTGACTGAATGTCCTGCTAGGGATGGCTTTGGTGTGAATGTGACATGTTGCATATTTTCAAAAATATCCCTCATCGCTATCATATGTTCAAGGGTGTTGAGGTTTCAGCAGTCTTCAATGCCGCTGAGGCCTTACTGGATAGTAGATCGTCCTCCCTGAGGCACACTAACCTTATACGGTGACGTGGATCTTCGGGAAGTGTGTATAGCATACTTCCACTCAGGGGTTATCTCAGTTTAAGATATCTTCAATACATTACTCCATTGCTGGCATATGCTATCGCTCCTCCTAGATCCTATCCCTCATCTCAACAAAGGGCAACTGACCAAGATGATCTTTGCCGGGAGTATGTCCAACATACATCTGCACACAAACAGAAAGCAAGATGTTGAGAAAGACGAACCTTGAAATACTTGCAATTCCTGCATTATATTCTTCCTTTATTTCGTTCTTCTTAACCGACTCAAAATACTTTACGCTCACAAAAATACATGTTCTCTCCAGATTATATCTTGTCCACACGCTCAGTGTTATAAGGTTTTCTGACATGAAGCTCTTCCTATGTTCGAAACACTACTCGGGCCGACCCCGTGGAGGGACAGGGGTGTCCTGGCTAGCAAACGGCGGTGTCCCAGCTAAGAGACAACAACCATGGTGGCTAGCTGAATAGTCGCACTACATGGAAAACCCCGCCCTCATGTTACACAAGCCTATCCTTCCTGTTTGATTTGGGAGCAACGCTATATTAAAAGACCTCGAAAATAGAATTCTCCTGTTGATTCTTCAGGAATCAGTCTTGCCCCGAAGTAAGACTTGGTAACTTAGTTATTCTATCTTCTTACCTAATCGACAGGCCTTCTACCCTGCCAGTAGATTGCACCTTAAACACTCAAGCCTCTAGTAGCATTTCGGGTGTCTGGGAATCATTCAAGCGCTCCCAGGAGCTCTTTTCGTTTGACGGGAATGATATGCGCGTGTGCTGGACTCTTTAACTACAGGTTCCACGAGAACGGCATTCCCCTGCGCGTCGTTAGGCCGTACATGAATTTATCGAGCAGAGCATACACCGGTCAGCCAACCTGCCACAGACCTATCTATTTGTGCAGTACTCATTCCAACGAAATATCTGAGAGTTCATGAAGCAGTCATAGATCATCCCCAAAACTATGTCCTCTCAGAACAAGCTAATACAGTACGGCATATGCAATGAGTAGGGATTCTATTGGAAGGGGAACCAATCTGTAGAATTGACAGATTGAATTGATTAAAAGAGTGGCAGGCAGATAGTATGTTAAATACAATCTGCAGAATTGGTTCATAGTTGATATGTGGATGGGACCAATTCCTCCATGTCTCAGAGGACCCATGGGATACTCAAGAGTGACTTGCAAGCGCTTCATGAAGAAGCGCGGTATGGCCTCAGCCTTGCTAACTAGCGACAGTGCCGCCTTTTCTGGAAGAGGCTTTCTGAGATGCGGAAAACAGGCGTTGACAAGATTCTCCTTTACCGTACCAAGGACTTTGATCGTTTTTGCAAGAATTATCCGTCAGACGATGGCCCGTCTCCCGAAGCCGTATACCCAAACAAACGTCTGCATCACACATCTGACTATATTCACAAGCTTTTTCCATCGGATTGAATTTGCGACGGCCTTTTTTTGGCGCATTGCTTTTTTTTTGCGAGGAACGATTAGATCGGGGGATGGTTATAGCAGTCATTGGCAGTTGCTGGCCACTTGTATATCTGAGGTGCTAGCCAAGTCTAATGGTAATCTTACCGCGAGAAAAAAGGAGGATAAACGAGAGCTCCCTCTTTAAGTCGTAACATCTTTGACAAAAAGTCGATTTCAATGAAGGAAAATGTTAAAAGTGGACAAGTTTCGATTTTTGAACGTTCAAAATTGAACTCACTGCGAAAGAATAGCCATTCCACTACACTTATCTGTTTTGCAACAGCGTATGTTCTATTTTGAGGCGTTACTTTTCCCATCCAGTCACGTCGACGAAACAGCTGAACGATGAGATCGTCTGCAGATGAACATGCATGGTGAAAGTTGTACACCAAAGTGTTGAATTGGCTAGATTCTCTGCCTGAGGCAGTTAAAGGGCACAGGTAGACGAGGGACCTCCCAATGGGAGGGACAATCTACCCTGTTGGTATCTCAACCAAATGGGTGGGGTGAGCGGCTCGCTTGTGTGGGCGGCTCGACAGGCGTTTTGGCCTGAGAAGCAAGGCAGACAGGGGTCAGAATATGAAAACCCTAAATGTATTATTGGAGTAGCAGTTGATGCTTCTTAGCAAACATAATAGCCTATCTCAAAATAACCCTTATGTTGAAAAGGGGCTCGGCTTAAGGTTCAAACTTTCTCGAAGCGCCAGATTTGGTTTGTACCTCCCCATTTCTCCCAAAGCGTAACCGGTGTTCCTGAAGCAGGGTTACCATGATCCGATAAGTCTATACATTGGCTAGTATCGGGAACGATAATGCTATTATATGCGGTTAATGAGTACACTGCGAATCAGGCCCTTTTAGATATGTGTACCTGTAACCTCCAGAGCTGCCAGAGTCAAGTTCTATACGAAAGGGTACCCTCCCGATACTTCCCGTAACAGGAAGACCATCCGTGATTCCAGCAACTAAAAGCGTCAGTTAGCTAAGCTATATAATAGCGTAAATCACAGAGCATACATACCCCCCCGTACGAAAGATAGAAAATATCCGTTCAGCACATTCCTCATGTCGAAGAGCCCATCTCCAACGAGTTCGACTTTCCACTTCTGATTAGGTTCATCGTTACGCGCCCTATTTATATCGTCAGCACAGAAGTAGGTAGGCGCTTTGATGGATAGAACTTACTCGCCTATGACAGTTGTCCCGTCGACACCAGATACGGCAAGACAAGTACCTGATTTTTGGTTAATAATGGTGTACATGTCGGCACTTAACGCAGCCATTATTGACAATCCTATGCGAGTGGACCGTAGATGGCTGTAGAAATTAGTTTATAATTATTAACCTAGGGTAGAACAAGATTTTATAGTCAGGCAGAAGAAGAGCGCACTATACAAGAAATACAGCAAAAACAGAGTCAACCAATCATTCATTTTAATGACCAGGATAAGATTTCCACCGACATGTAGATTGCAGGAAGCCTAGGATCAATCGATCACCAGGTCGCCTGGACACCCCTCTACATCGAGAGATCGTTAGACTTCTCTTACTACGCCCGAAAATAACCGATATATATGCTTTTCTAGCTTATGGTAGTGGGCTGTAAACTAGTAAGAAGCTGGAGTGGCTATCGAACAAAAGAGGGTAGTTTGACATTGGTCACTATGAATCAATTCTCTTCCGCAGGTCTTCCGGTGGCTTGCATAGCGAGTAAATTCATGCGGATCAAACTTTGCACACCGCTGGAGATCTCCGGAAACTGTGTACAATTTCTAATATGCATCATGCGGTGTGATCAAATCTGTTGGAACATGCATGTTAGATATGCATCATTGAATTTTGCATGCCCCGCATTGTCTCGCTTTGTTATCATTTTCACCATATCTCTTTAACAGGAGCATACTGAAGTGGGTATCATAAAAAAGCAATACCCTTGCAAAAGAGGGGAAGCCCTGACGTATCAGAAAATAGCAGCAATATTTAGAAAGACGGTGCATGTTAGCAAAGAGTGGTCAGAAAGAAGGGTCAAATCGAGCACGCAGCCCTAAGGCTAGATATTCTCTCCTCCGCTAGCTCCCTAGAAACCTTAGTCTCAAGCTGTGAACACCTTACAACACCGTCGTCCAACAAACTTGGCCAGTCGCGGTCATAAAACCCAACTTATACTATAGATCACGGAGGCTAATCTATAAGTTTCCGGATCTGTTGACTCGTTATTGTATGTTCCTTGAACAGAGTAATCGGCCCTTCCCAAGTGTGTCCCTATTTCCCAGTGGGCTAGGCCAGCCCCGGAGTCTGCTCTCGCGCTACTACATTTTTCTTCATGGAGGACCACGTGATATGGTGGATCATGCTTGGAACGTTCGCAGAATGATTCCGTCTCATTGTCTTCCCATGTAATCTCTAAGGTCCCAGCCAAGAACGGAGATACGGTAATTGTATGCGGCATATGCCAAAGCAATCGGCGAATTTTCCGTAGATTCATCACTTTCGTGGCTTTGGAAGCAGCGGACCGCCCCAGCAGGGGAACAAGGCAGAATTTTAACAACCCTTCGACAACATGATGGCAGAGAATGTTGTCCCGGAAGTCGACGTGATTGCAAAAAAATGACTGCCTACCCAATCTTGAGGACAGAGTTTCGCGACAAAAGACTGGTTCGTGCGAACCGGCAAAGTCTAGCCACTGGTGAGCAACCTTTTAAGACCCTGCAGTGAGAGTTATAAAGCGCCTGGATTGCACTGCATTTAGCACGCACATATTGTACCTCAACTGTTCTGCCTTGAAGGAGAATCGTTATGCAAGCCATGAACGCTCTGTGTATGGTTCGTGCATAGTTGGTCTCTGGGACTGAACACATCTCGGCATTTTTGAAATACTTGATTTGTTCTTCCTCTGGCGTCCGGATTGGCGAGTAGGAACGCAACAAAGTCCACAGAGATTCTGGAAGTTTGACAGGCTGTCTCTCCAAAATTTCTTGAATGCTTGCGATGCTCTGGTTCTCAGTGAGCCGCGCGCCCGCCATATACACGTCAAAGGAAACTTACCTCAGCACTGGAGGCTTCATTGTAGAAAAATTTGTCATCACCAGCCTCACCCAGAAGATGCTTCCAGATGAGATGCTTGGTTAAGGGTTCCAGAAAATAAGCCGCTGATTCAACATCAAGCGCTTTAGGAAAATTGCGCAGAAGATCAACGTAGATGGGAAGAAAAGCGCGTGATGTTTCCGAATTGCGGCTTCCTAGATTCGTCGCACCATGTTGGCTTCCTCATCTCGATCGACCAAAATCTGTCGGTCACGATTCACCTTCCCATGCAGGAAGTTATACGCAAATAGATACTGCTTGAGTTCCGACCCTGAGCATGGCAGACGCATTCCGTTGAGGTAGACACGACCGTGGAATTGGGGATCAAGGATGAGATCCCCGGCCTCGGTTTCCAGGATATCCGAAGGATGCGACAATCCTCGAATATCAAAAGTCATGGCCAGCCAACCGTGAAAATCATCCAGCGACACTGCGTTTTTCTTCGATTCTGGGGGTGCTCAATCTCCAAAGTAACATCCCTATCTGCACTGGAGCACAGCCGAAACATGTCGTCGGCTGGATCATGGCCAATGGAACTATTATGATCGGAAGGCTTGATTTCACAGTAAAAGTGGGATTTCAACAATCCGAAATGCCAGCGGTTTCTGCTGGCCAACAAGTCCACATCCAAACCACTGCGCACCATCACCAGAGCCGCCAATTTGAGGCCCTCTCCGTGACAGCCAGCGGAGTTGGAATCGTGTCGCTTCGACGAGCATCCGAGCTCAAGCACAGTGAGGCCTAGTTCAGCACAGGAGTTGGAGATTGTCACGCTGCCCCTGTGCTTGTCGTACTTGATAAATCCCAAAGCACGACTCTGCCGTTGTCGATCCGAGAGATCGGGGACGATAATCGCTATACAATCGCCCCTGTCTTCTTAGACTGGCTGGAAGTCAAGTCGGCCTAGGCTGAAGCGTGCCAAGATGGCATCTCTCCTGTTTGTGAATAAGCTTAGTCTCTGAGCATTTCTTTCGAGGTGACAGCATAGAACTGACCAATTCTGATACAGCTCCCTGAAAGCAGCCACCACATCCCAGTCCTGGATGTATGATGACGAGATGCCAAAGAAAAATGGGTTTCCGCCACTGCTCTGGTTTTCATGATAACCTGGCTCGGTTTGCAGAGTATTTTTCTCAACACATTCACCCACATTACTGGGGATCTTGCTTGACGGCATCGAGTCTGTGATACTGGAATTCTCACACAATAGCTTTCTCCTGAGAAGTATGGGCCGCAACTCAAAGGTGAAGTGGAAAGCGTGGCCAAAACTGATGGGAGAAGAAAATGCGTTACGCCAATTTTATAGACGAGAGACTCATTTCAAACTCTCTAGATGCCAAAAAGTACGGCACACTCACCATTTGCAAGGCCAGTTGATTACCCAGTCCGTTGTAACTCAGCCTTAGCGATCACCGGTCAACATGGTATGATTATAAAACATGGAATTCAATAATCAATAGGACGTTCAACTGTATCTTTTTTTGTTGCGTGTTTATCAATACCTGTTGACCAGATGGTTAACAACAACCTAAATTCGATGGCTCCTCTGGATAATGATTTCTCCTTGGCTGGGATGGCTGTGGGGTTCCGGGCCCTGACGTAATAGGTTGAAAATCAAAGGTCGCAGAGAATATCCTTCCTTTCCAGTGAAAGCTGCAGACATAATGGGACGGGAACGACCGTTTACGAGGCATGTGCTCTTTCACCAGGGCGACTGTTTATCATCTCAAAGAGTTTAACTTCTGCGTTCAACAGTGAGCCTACTTGACTATTCCAAAAATCTTCTCCGGCTGTATGATCCATAGTACGCAAAACGACCTGTAAAGAGCAATCCGCAGGCCCAGAGATTCGGATCCCGTGCGTTCCAGCATACAGCGCCAAAGTCCATTTTACTGACACTTCAACATGCTCAACACTACCAAATCAGCGTATTCTTACGGTAAAGTTTGCCAGACACAGCAACGCACTATGTATATGTGGGTTGCTCGGTGGCAAATGGGATTCACGAATAATCTCCAATCTTCTCCAGATCTGGCTCGGGAACGGGAACCGGAGATGAGGATCTATTACTGCCGGCCTTTTCCCACCATGTGAGTTGGGCTTTTCGTTAGCTAGAATTTACGTCATCATACTCCTGTATAGCAAGTCCCCCGTGAGCGACAATCTTCCCTAAAAAGCACCTTACTTCAGATCGGGCATAAAATGACCAAAAACATATTCAGCAGTGACAATGAGCCGTTTCATTGGTTTACCAGAGGGGCCACCTGTAATTATCTATCAAGTTTTGTACAAATACATCTGGATTCAGGCATGTTGCCGAGGGTTGTGTTGTGTGCCTTGCAGATTCTGAACGCAAGGTGATGAATCTGTCTCTATGTAAAGCTGAGGCTTCTCTCGGCAAAAAAAAACCTTCAGACCCAGTGATGTGCCATACGTGTGATACATATCAAACTTCATCCAGAGGCCTATATTGATGACATGTCTTCCATGAACACCATCTCGACGCAATCATGGTACGTTCTCCTAGCGGTCAAAATGCCTTGGCACAGACAACTAGTATGCATTACACTACGGAGACTCGTTACATGAAAATGCTTGCTGAGGAAGAAAGTATGGAGGTCCTGTATAATATTACGGTCAGTGCGGCGAATTGGGCCTTGTTGGCTGGTTATCTGGTGGTACCTTCACCACGATGCAGGAGTCCAGTCAGGTGGAGAAAGTGCTACAAACCAACGATACTGGTCGTGTGGTGCTTCACACTATTCAAAATTCGCCGCTGCTGGTTATTGCATGTTTGCTCTTTGCTAGTGGCTCTGCCGCTTTGGTCTGGCTACTGCGTCGGCTCAAGCTTCGAATGAACTATTTATGGCTAATCAACAAGCTTTTCATGTGAGTATATCGGAGATCTCAAACACTCCGCTATGACCCCACTGCTAAATTACGATAGACCAATGTCTTTGAATGTTGCCGCTGGACTGCTTACTACGCTTATCAACGTGTGCACATCCAAGGGCCGGAATTGGTCTGGGATGGCCATAGCCACAGTCGCTGTGACGGGTCCTACATTTGTGATCTTCTCTACTCTCTTCTTGATTTATAAATTCTGCAAGTTTTAGAGAGTAAAACAGCAGCACGAAATGATCACTCACGGCTTGAGCTCTTCACGCCACGCGCCATGCCTGAGCGGCACTCTCTGACCACCTGAGATGATGTATAGCAGAGTCAGTCAAAGGAAGCAAGCAGAGAATGAGACCTTTGTCGTTATAAATGATCATTGCAAATAGAACTGGTTTCATGGATTGCTAGGCAGAAGTTCTGGGAGTGGGCAAGGTCAATGGGTGTAAGCACATTGGAATAGTCGTATTACTGTACCGTACCGGGGTCTGCTGTTTGATATATGTAAATAAACCATCTGGATGGATGAAGAGAACGGAATAAGATGTTAAATTCTTTATCCTGTTGACGCAATCACCCACAGAAGCCTTGGCGACATACTCCTTGAGCTTCGACCAGTGCTGTGCAGTATCAATGTAGCTAAAACCTAGCTTCCCAACGACCAGCTTCGGCATTGATGCCTGTGGCAGTTACTCCTGTAGTGAATGCTCCCACATTCATGATATATATCCAACTTTAGTGGTATTGCAAACTAACAGAAAGATTTCGTTAGAGGTGGCAGCGACTTCATCGGTGATGAAAGAGTATTCAGCGACGACTGGGATTAAAGTTGGGTAACCTGGGATGGAAAATATCCCCGAAAATCTCATTGTGGCGGTAATATTGTTTGCTCTACGAGAGTGTCCAGTCATTTTATTGAGCAAAATCTACATACAGTAGCCTGAGAACACTGTGGCATTTCAATTCTGACGGATGTCTAGTTGATAAATAAGCCGCTGTTCCTGATGATCGAGCACATATTCTGAGGCAACAGCAAAAACACGGGTCAGACAACATATTCAAAACTGCTCATTTCTGCATCTGTGATTGGTTTATAGGGGTAGCATGGGTTAAAATACGGTATACATTAAAGAGAGATCCATTGTGCGAGATCCTCACAATGAACTGTCAAATTTAGCGAAACTACATAGCTTCAGTTGACAGTACAAAAGCTTGATTGCACCCATTTTCTTTCCAATTCCTAGATAGTTTTATATTTCTTGGCCGGAATCAATAGATATATAAGTACCTGTCGAGAACACATTTTTCCCTCACTTCAGTCAACCCAATCAGTGCTTACCCATCATGTCTTCTTCACGGGCCCCAAAGGATGGTGTCGGGAAAAGAGGTAAAGGCAAACAAATTGGGGGCAAAGATTCAAGCATCGAACTTATGGAACAAGCGGCGAATAATGGAACATTGCCCCCAGGGAAGGTTGCACTTGCGGCAGCCCAAGCTTCCATATCTGATGCTGGTGGCAATCACGAACAAGACACCGACGTGGACCACCAGGGTTCGACTAGTCGCCAAGTCCCCAATGATTCTCGGGAAACGTCATTGTTGCCTAATGATGCGGCCCAAGTCACGCCTGTGAAAGGCGACAATGTCAGCGACGTCGACATGAGCGATGTTTCCTCAGAGCCTGAAAATCTTACCGAAACACCTTCGAGGGGAGACGGCCAGCAGGACGTGGCGAGCACTTTACATCGCCAAAGAGACGACTCTCCACAAGATCACAGCGATGACGCCTCTCAAGACGATGAATGTCTAGGTCGCCTGGATCCACCATCTGGCAGCCCACCTGGCCGCTCGTCCAACAGCCCCCGGATCAATGATGATGTTATAGATGGATGGGGAACTTTTCGCGGGTCGACGTTTGTGATCATCCAATGTGGACCACGCCACGCAGCCAAGTATAGACTTGAATATCGCCCCAATTACGAAGATGACAAAACGGACAATATCTCGGATCAAGAAGTGCGTATTTCTTCGCTGAGAGACAAAGATAGCTCCGGTAAGAAGCACTGGCGGTACTCGCGCGACAACGTCGATGGCATCTACGGAGTGGTCTCGGAAGAGCGAAATCCGTATAAAAACTACAAAACCGATCCTTGTCTATGGGTGAAGATCAAGTGGAAGGGTCTGGAACCTCGGGATCAGGAGAGGCTGGTTCGTGGCTGTTCCTGGATTCCAAGATCAGAATTTACCCGCTTCTGTGGTGGTAAACGCGCAACGGAGCGGAAGCTGAAAGAGGTGTGGGATAAGCAGGAAGCGCGTTATCTGGAGTCGCGTAGAGGCGAGCCTAGAATGGCAAATGAGGACCGCTCCCCAACCCCTTGCCCATTGGGGGCGTCGTCGAATGGGGACCGCGATCGGCGATCCACCTCACGGCTTCAAACACCGGAGAATCGGCCCGAAGATCCCGGCCGGCATCAAACTCGGACACCATCGCGCCGGAGTGTCCCTCGAAGTTCCCAGGTCAATCAAACTGATTCCAACGGGTCCAGCAACTCTGAGGGTCTTTCTCCATCCAGAGCCGCAACTGCTGCTCCGAGTTCCCATGTCCAAAGAGTAACAAACGAATCCGGCGCCCAGTCTCAGGAAAGTCGTTTTGTACAGACATGGGAGGAGTTTGTGGCAGAAATGGCACAAGAAGAGCATTGGCAAGAACTAGATGAGAATGAGAGAATGACGAAAAGAGCCATGGCGAAGGGTTCATATCATGTCTACTGCGAGACTGTTGCAAAAACCAGAGGAGCGTCTCCAACCGAGCGTGGCCCCGTAACGGGCGCCCCGCAAATCCCAGTGCATTGAAAAAAGAGCCTACGCGCTATGCTGGAGATCTAAAAGTCGATTACTTTTTTTGGGCAAACTTTTGCTTTCAGTTTTGATTCTGTCTTTTGCACACTAAATAGTTTAGCTAGATTGACCCAATACATATATGTTACAAGTGATTAGAAGATCTACTCTGATGAATCCGATGTCAAGTGATACGCAAGATATCCGGCAGGAAATCTGCGCCGCCCGCAAAGCTCTTTACCCAAAATCAAGGAGTGGGCATAATAAATGTAGGAATTTCGAGATGGGTAGTGTCGAGGAAAGTGGAGCAGTTACAGCTGCCTCCTATTGGTTTCCTTCGGCCCCCGCCTTTCTTTGTGTTTTGTATGTAAATTACGGGGCTCTGAAGTCACTTTCGAGTATCCATGGGTCCTCTAAGACACGGAGGAATTGGTCCCATCCACATATCAACTATGGACCAACTCTGCAGATGTGTATTTAACATACCCTCTGCCTGCCACTCATTTTATCTACAATCAATCAATTCATCCCGTTTTAGTTGGTTCCGCCTGATCCTCATTCGCCAGAGTGCATACTAGCAGATACGAGATTACCTCGCTCTGTTACATGGCATAGGCCCATGAGCCACGCGAATAATCGTCAGTGAAGGTAATCACGTACCTGGAGCCATCTTTGGCGACGGGCATTTCCATAATGTCCGAATGAATCATTTCAAAGATTCGCGACGAGTGCAGACGTCGCCGTCGTGCACGGGAGTTTCTCTTCTGATGCTGCTTACCCGACATACACGCCGGACACTGCGGCGTTGCCTGCAGTTCGCTCTGCGTCAATGGTCGGTACGGAGTGCCGGTCTGCCGGAGGACCACCCTTAAGTCTCCCCGGTTCAGATGTCCCATCCGAGCGTGCCACAACGCTTCGGAGGCCTGGTCTACTCCTGTGCACACATCTTCTTCGAGTATCTCAGCTTCACCACCGAGTTCAGAGGTGGTCGCCGCGCCTTGCGCACCACTTGACTCCAGAGGGTCGTCGACGTCCATGTCCACCGCCTGCGGTTCCAGGGAATCTGCATGGACACAGTCCGTCGGCGCCCTCGCCAGTTGGACTCGTTCTCGGGATCTTTGGCTCACATAGCACCGCAGGATCAACAGATCCTCCTCCGCATGGTAGGCGGTCCCCACTGTTCGTCCTCGGCGTTGCACAAAGACGTTCTGCGGGTGTGCCACCACCGAATAGCGGTCTCGTAGTAATTTCGGCACGCTGATCAGGTTCATCCCGATACGCGGCGCGAAGTAAACATTCTTCAACACCAGGGGATGGTTGAACTTCCCCCGGAGCGTGAGCTTCACCGTGCCAATCCCTTCGGCTTCCACTGGATCGCCCGCCGTGTCCAGCATCTCATGGTGGGGCCGCAGGCTACTAAAGCAGCTCCGGTCCCAGCAGATATGGCTAGTGGCGGCCGAGTCCAGGATCCACCGGGGTTGCGGTGCCTGGGTATAAAGGGTCGTCACCCTCGCCCTCACGATATTGATCCGCGGTCTCTTGGAAGTCGGCGGGCCCTGCCGTTCTTCCACCTGGTTTAATGGTATAGTTTGCAAATTGTTTCTTGGTGAGCCGGAAGCACTCCGTTCAGCCTTCAGGGCATGGCCCCTGGGCTGTTGCTGTTCTTGCTGTTCTCGCTGTTTCTTCCAGCACTGCGCGACCACATGGCCTCGCTTCTTGCAGTAGTTGCATTTCTTTGCGGTCTTCTGCACCGTATTGATAGAGGTGCTGCTTGATGACCCTATCGCTCCGTGCGGAACCGTGGCAGCATCCTTGCGCTGCACCGTCTGCTCGGCATTGGCGAGACGGTTTCCAATGGTCGTTGGGTTAACCGGGTCCTTGTCGTTTTGGATGGCATCCACGACAAGAATATATTCTGGTCCGATCTGCGTCAGCAGGATGGCAATGTGTGCTCGATCGCCGATCGATCCTGGCGCAATGGCATTCAGGCGGTGCACCAGCAGCCGCACTCGATCGACAAACTCGCGGGTGCTGGCGCACCGGGCGGCTGTGGTCTCACGAAGCTGGGCGAACAGCTCGCAGAACGTGGCCAGCTCCATGCGCCGGTACCGTTCTTCCAGTTCATTCCACAGGTCGCGGGACGTCTCGAGTCCCGCGACGTGCACACTGATATGCGGAGACAGGTACCGGAAAATAGTGTGGTAGGCCTCAGCCTCACGACGCGACCATTCACGGTGGCGCTCGAAGGCTTGGACCTCCACTTCGAGGCGGGCTTCGATGGCTCGCTGCCTCACCGCCCCGTTCAGGTGGGGTTCCACCAAGGGGATGATGTCCGCGGTGATAGGCTTGGCATATTTGAATTGGCAGTCGGGACGCTGAAGGTCGCCCGACACCACGTCCCAGACTTGCCTGGCTTTCAGGTAGGAAGTCATGAGACGCTTCCAGGTAGCGTAATTGTCGCTTCCTGTCAGAGGCTCGATGGCCGTGACGGCTCGGTCGGGGGAGTCATGGACGAGAGCCGACATGATGTTTATGAGGAAGCGGGGTAATATATAATCACAAATCAAAAGAGAAGGATGGGTCTCGGTGTGAGTAGAGACGGCACCCGAGTAATTGCACTCGGGCTCATAACCTGGTGTAGTTCAAAAGGAAGCTTACTTGTTCTTATTTCTGAGGGGATACAAGAGGCTATATATACAACATGAAGTCCAAGTTGATTTCCAATCAACTTTGGTCTTCGTATAGATGGACAGGAATTATTTCCGATGTTGCGGCTTCGTTCCTGAGCAGCAACTGCCTCATATCACAACACACGCGCGTAGATACGATTAACAGTAGAAATAGATAGATCTACTATCTTGGCGATCTCGTTAGACGTTTTCGTCGTATAAGCTCTTAGTGCGACGACGGTCACACGATCAGCATGCGTTGACTGTTTTGCCATAGTGATAGTAGTATGGTAGTAGACTGTGTAGTAGACTGTAGTAGGTAGTAGGTAAAGAAGAAAATCCCCTGAGGGGATTGTGTGTATTCGCTTTGTATAACCTTAGTGGTAATCTAATGGTGGTACGTGCGCTGCGCAATACTTTTTGGATGGATCTAGTAACTCCGTAAATTGGTTACTTGGCAATCTCGGTGTTGTAACCACCGAGTACCGGCACATTTCCTTCTTCTTCAATCAGTCAACTCTTTCATCCTGGTTCCGTTTGATCCCATTTGTCTACGATGAGTACTAGTCTATACGGTTTTATCTTGCTCAGATAGTTTTTAACATACTGCCCCACGCCCGGAATTGCGAAGGACAATGTCAAGCCTGTCAGCCCCCACTAGACTAACTCGTTCAGGGATGGTGACGACACTCGTCATTCTCAAATCTGCGCCCAATGCGGCTGAGCTCAACCCAAGACAAACTGCTCACATCCATTTTCCCTCTTCCGTTCTAAGTCAGCCATGCCCGACGCGCCTCCTATCCCAAGTGTGACCACCCTCCGCGCAACATGCTGACCCTCCTCATCCTCAGTCTAGCCACGCAGGCGCTGGCCCAGAGAAACTCGACTGTTTTGATCGGTTGGCAGTTTGATGGCGACGATCGCTCATCATGGAATATTCTTTGGACGTGTCTCTCCACCATTCTGGCGTGCACCTGGACTGCAATGCATCTCCAATACCATGGAAAGGATAATTCCCACATCGGGATGAACCGCATAGGGAAAAGCTTCACATGGATTGCCGCCGTGCTTGCGCCGGAACTGATGTCTTTTATTGCAGTTCAAGAATATTGGGAGGTGAAGCTGATTCTTGCGAGCTGCAATGCTGCTCAAACGGCATTCTCCAGTGGGCAGAAAGCTTCCTTGTTGGAGCCGGTCATAGAGATTACCAACCACAACGATGAGGAGGACCCGAAGCCGCCAAAGTTACCCAAAGAGGTCTCGAACGATGGCGAGAAAGAAATTTCAGAGCGCCCAGCGATAGAGGCGACAAAGCCACCGACACATGTTTTTCGATATTGGAAAATGGCCCAAGGGTACTATATCCGCATGGGCGGTTTTGTTCTCCAGACCAAGGACTACTGGGTATACACTGTTCGGCCCGCAAATGTCGTCCTCCTCATTGAGGCAGGAGTTATCAAGCCATCTAGCTTGAAGATAGGCGATATCAAAGATCGAGACAAATCCGACCCCCTGTCAAAGGCCTTCACTCTCCTCCAAAGCGCATGGGTGACAATTAATATCATCGCCAGAAGGGCATATGACTTGCCCATCTCGCCCCTGGAGCTCTCCACCGTGGCCTATGTGGCCTGTGCCTTGGTCACTTATTTGGCTTGGTGGGATAAGCCCAAGGATGCTGACACGTTCATCACTCTCCACCTACCTTATGACCGTGACAGTGACGAGATGCCAACTCAATTCCGCGATGCGGACAGGACAGATTGGATGCACCTGCCGCCGCCGCTAATCAAGGACAACGCCGAGTCCAACGAGAAAGATGGACACTGGAAACGAGCAGCTTTTGTTGCGCTGTGTAACGACCCAGTTGGATTCTGGAGAAGAATCAAGGAATCACACAAGGAGATCCGTTCCCAGCGAGTACACAAGCAGATGGAGTTGGATTCTTTGGCAGACAACTCGGGCTCTTCCGCAGACAACTCGGAGGAGACATATAATGACAACGTCCGTTTTAAAGAGCAAGTCACCGTATGGGAACAATTCACAATTGATATGTTTACTTTCATGGCCGCACTGGTATTCTGTGGTATTCATATTGCGGCGTGAGTATCCATTCTTTCATTCCTCTTGTTCTCTCTGATACAATACTCACTTTTGCAGGTGGAATTTCATCTTCCCAACTCGAGCCGAGCAAATAATCTGGCGAGTCTTTGCTCTCGTCTCATTCTCCCTGGCCTGGCCAGTGGCTTTAATGTCGGATATATCCTTACTCGGGCCGTGGTATAAACATGGAAGGAAGGCACCTATCCCTAGAGAATATTTTTATCCCTCACAGACTCGGATTTGGCTTCTTATCATGTTTTATCTGGTATATTCGATTGCACGGCTAGGAAACATTGTGCTCATGTTTATATCGCTGCGAGCCCTCCCCGCTGGATCCTATTTATCGATTAATTGGCTAGCATCTATACCTCATATATAGATAGGTAGTTAAATCTAGATAATCTTGTGTCGGGTACCGTAAATCCGCATTTTAGCTCTTCGGCTTTTCGTCGAGCTGTCTTCTTTGACCACCCTTTGCAATATAGGTCGTCGCTGATCGTGGACTTCGGTATGGATACGTCCAATTCATCCGGCAAGAACATTTCATTTCGTGAAGATATATCCCGGGTTGTCGAGCAGATGGTTGCACAAGGCTTCCAACATGTCTGGCGTCATGCTTCGTAGCCGTCCCGCTTTAATTGAAGGAGCTTTGACAGTACCGAATAGCCGCAGATTAGACCGGATGCTGATGATTGCGTGCAGAAAAATGAGACATGGATCACCTAGTTTGGAAAATCGAGGAAAATACCGATCCTACAGAGACTTTTTTCGATCCTGGCATGACCAGTGGTCGCCTCTGGGAACTTTAACGAGGGTTTCAGGGGCAATATAGCTCCCAGGAGAGGTGTGATCGCTTGCGTGTAAGGAAATAGGAAACACGGATATGGCTGGCGTAGTGGCTAGTTGGTCCTGAAGGTGGGTCAGGCTACTCCGGCCCATATCCTTGGATGGCTTGAATGAATCAATATTCAGAGGATCTAAACAGCGTCATCGACGCACCAACTATATTACTCGGTTTCATATTCTACCACCTACACAGGAAACACACTGGTGGCAGAATATATCAACTCTTCAGGATGATGTTGACGTGTTAGAGATAGCGTGGCCGAATCGGCCATCCGCGGAGTCTTCTGTGGAGAATCTTTTCCTAATTTTAATATAAAAGTGGCCTACGGGGCTATAGAAATCTTCAGAGCAAAGTATACAGATGAGCCGAGACCAAAAATGAATAACAATTTTATTACAGTACATTCAATTTACTACAGTAAATGTCGTAAACACCCGCACTAACTCAGGAAAAGTCCACCAAGTTCCGCAGTCTAGAAAGATGTATACAATATTTGAACATAAAGGAGTTGAGTCGTTAATCTAACGTTCAAATAGCCATTATTCTGTGGTCGAACTAAACAGTACGTATTGTAGACAATCAGACTGTTCAACTTGAAAATCCGGTCAAGATCAGAACTTTGATTCAGTGCATTACCATTTCTAAAGGCAACGAAAGTAAACTGTTTTGGTTGGAATTAAATCGATGAAAATGGCACAGAGATGAATCAGTTCACCGTTTATTCAGGGTTCAACAAGAGGAAACGGTGGAATTGTGATTGAGCCAAAAATAATACACGGTAGGAGTAAAAAGATTGGCTACTCGTAGGTCTCAGACGAGAAATTATTTTAACCTCCGTGAAAGGGCTAAGTCCGACCCATTCCGAGCCCTTGGGCTAGATCGGGATTTACAATCCTCCTGCTTTCCTCTTACTCCAAACTCGAAAGTACGGAGTTACCAATGACCGTATTGTCAACTTGGGTGCCTCTTTACTTCCCTTAAAATTCTTCATACTACACAGTACCGGCCCACGGAGTGCCTGCTTAGACAGGCCATGAAATGCGACGGCGCTGTCCGTGAAAGCGAGGACAAGATGATGAGCCCAATGGGGGCTGTGGATGAGGAAGGCCTGCAGGATTGCGGAGACCTCCTTGATGTTAATGTGGGCCACGTCGCCGCAGGCGGAGGAGGCGTCCACAATAGCCGCATGGGTGGAAGGCAGGTGAGGCGCTGCAGACATCCAGTCCCTGGCGGAGTCCCATGAGGGCGTATAGAAGAAGAAGTGGCCCAGACCTGAGTCGCACGCGTCTGTGTAGAGGGCAACTAGGGGGCGGCTCTTCTCGAAGAAATGGATGCCGTTAAATAACGGGAGAGTATCCCTCCACCACGCAAGATCCCCGCGGCTATCATGGGATAGGCGGCGAACGGAGCGCTGGTGAGGCGGGAAGGATGCGAGGTCGCTGTAGAGCGACTGAAGGCGGGCTCTGCCGAGACGGATAACCATTGAGCAGTGTTGGAGGAAACCGATTACACGTTGCAAAGCTTTATGCGAGACACGATCTAGCTGTAGTAGCGACGCGGCTTCGGAAGAAGCGCGTGCTAGCTTATCGCGAGGCATGCGGGCCTGCAGAAGTGTCGTGTCGATTTCGACTCCAAGGACACTGACCACGGTACCCGCGGCGTCTTTCGAGTCATTCCGTGGGATGCCTAACGCATCCGTGAGAGGTATATATACGGTATTGAAAGCGGTAAGGGCTTTAGAGAGACCTCCTACGGAGGAAGGGAAAATAGCGATGAAATTGTCAAGGTAATAAGCGATAGAGGCCACAGGCAAATAAGCGGTTAGGAGCCAGTTAAGGCCCTCAGCAAAAAGGTTAAAGATAAAGGGTGCAGTTGTAAGGCCGAATGGGTGGCAGCACTCCATGTATGTCTTGCTATCCCACGAGAAGGCTAGGAGGGGCCAGTCAGCGGGGGCGACGGGAATGTTGCGGAAAGCATCCTTGATGTCGCGTTTGATAATATAGCATCCTCGTCCAGACGTGCGTATGAGATCGAAGATGTTATCCATAGAGATGTATTGTATAGTAGAAGCAGCGTCGGGGATAGACTCGTTGACACTGCGACCCGGCGGGTAGGAAAGATCATGGATACGGCGCCATCCCCCGTCGTGTTTAGGCACGAGCCCTAGTGGAGAAACCACAACGGGGCCAGTGGATAGTTGCACCCAAGGACATAATAGATTAGCAGAGAGCTTCTGGGTGATTAGAGAGGGGTCGTCGATACGGTGATTAGGAGTTCGACGGTCTGTCGGCTGGGTCGTACAACCGAGGCAGCAGCCGAATATGAGGATGCCGCTGCAAATAGTCCCTAGGTTGCCAGGATAGCGTTCAAGGAGGGATTTCCACGCCGGGGCAATAAAGGGAGAAGCGGAATCACGCAGAGGCGGGAGGGAAGGGTCGAAGACCTCAAACTAAATAGAAGTGTTGGGACGCGGGGCTAGCCAGCTAGTTAGCGGCGACAGGGTTTGACCTATACCAGGGCCGACCCCGGCATGCTCCTAACTCACTGGTTTCATTTTGCAGCTTATCATAGAATTGTCGTTGCCGCACTTAGAGCAGACGTGTCTTCGGTAACATATTCGCCAGTGGCAGCCAGCAGAAGAGTTGAACTTTTCACAAACGACAGTATCGTTATTTGGGGCAGCGGTCGAGCGCGTTGACCGCGTAGTTGGGGTAGCTGGCGCCGTCTTTGCTGGGAGCACTTGTCTGGGTGAAGGTAGGAGCTTTCGAGGGCTTTCCCAATTTCCCAGTCAGTAAGAGAAACGGTGAGGTCACCTTTATCGACGACCATCTGGTGGTGGTCCAGGGCCATTTGCAGGATACAGTCCTGCCATTTATATACCCTGGCAAGGTCACAAATGCGGCAGTGGAAGAGGACCATTCCACTGATGCATAACGGGTGCTTGAGAGCGAAGAGATCACACCAGACAGCGACGTAATTGCTGAAGCAATGGGCCCAGAGGGATGCGTCATTTCCCCAGTCCTTGATTGAGACTACCTTGCGGAATTGCAGGCCAGATGATGTGGATTTTAAGTCGAAAGACTCGCCATCCGGTGCCGAGGCTTTGAACTCAGGGCTACGGAGTTTTATGAGGTCCCTCTTTGGTCGGAAGGTGTGCTCGAAAACGGCTATAATAGCAGCACGATCGAGGCCAGGGAAACGGGGGAGGACTGGCAAAACAAGAGACGGGACCCTACCGTCGTCAGCATCCTCTTCCGCAGTGAGGTCTAAACGTGGGCGCTTGCGCTGCCCGTCTCCCGCAACAAGGGACGTGGACACAGTAGAGATGAATGAGTCCCGCTGGGAGTCAGAGAGGGAATTCCATATATACTCTGGTGGATAGATCGAGGAGCGCAAGGTGGTCTGTCCCCCAGGGGTTGAACTGGGGGCCGCCGAACTATGATGCACCATAGTAAAAGGAACTCTTGAAGAAACCGTCGCGGAGAGTGCCCGGCTCTCCCTCGAAACGGCGATGTTCTTTTCGAGGGAGGGGAAGGCCAGGCGATAATTGTGTGCGATGCCCAATATGGAATATCGTGGGCCCGACGCACGGGGCTCTCACGCAACAGTCCCGAATAGAACCTATCATTTATGCCTTTCGCCTCCGGCCGCTCGTAGCTACCAAGTATGCAAGATTTACAGGAGAGCAGGGAAATTGCACGGTAAGTTGGTAGGAAATAGTTCGTATGTGCTGCCAGTTGAGGTGATTCAACCACTGTTGAACTGCACTTTTTAGAGTTTGTGGCCAACCTCGCAAATCGGCCCACTTCGAACCGTGGCGAGAGTCGAAGTGGGGCCTGCCGACTGGGAAAGGCATGCAAAGAACAACGTTGAACCGTTGAACCGTCAGTGAACGTCCAATCTTATAGCCCGTGAATGGTACTATACCTATGAAAAATTTCTCCTCCCTTTTACCTCCGGCCGATGGTAGCGCTGTTAGCTATGCGAATTTGATAGGGATCTGGGAAACTGTACCCAGCGTTGAAGGAAACCCTCTGTTTTTGCTGCCAGTTGAGGTGATTAAACAGTCGTTGAAGTACGCTTTTAGAGTTTGCGGCCAATCTCGTGAATCGCCCCACTGAGAACCGTGGCATGCGTGAATCTATGCGGAGCGCCCCCTTAGAACCGGAACTTGGTAAATGCCTCATACGCTGAAGATATTTACGGTGAATCACCTTCAACAATCGTTGGAATAGGCGCTGAACAGTACGTCTAACAATACAGATTGAGATTGAGGAAGGCTTGGTGGAGGGAATTCTAGCGTCTTTTGGTGGGCCACCTGGATGGCTACCCAGGTATTTGCTCGGTGGATGTGTGAATGTGTGCACGTATTTTTGGGGCCTCGAGCGCCCCCTTTTCTGAATCATTTTCAGTCTATGCCACCTTTGAGCACATCTAGGCTGAATATCCGACTGGCCAGAACATCAACCCTGTGAACAAGCCGTCAGACCAGCTCTATCTGCCCCCGTCGCGGAATACTGGGGCTGTTGTGTGCTAACGATGGCGAGGCGATTTCGAAAACGAGGCTTGTCAGTAGGTAAAGACGTCAAGAAGATGCGAAGACCTGGCCAGGATCTGGCTTCTAATCAGATCTCTCTGCCCGAACCTCTCGTGCTTCCCACATTGGAGGCCAAGATGTGAGTTCGGACATGGCTTTTTCCAACCAGGGCGCTCTCTAATTCAGTCTGTGTAGGATGTTCAGACATTTTGTTAAATCCCTGCAAGGAAAGAACGTATCCGGTGAGAACAGAACCTCGGCTGTTACGATTGCCTATCGACTGAACGATTGACCAGAGGTGCTCTATGCGCTATATTCTTTCTTTGAGATGCCGGAGGACCGAGTTCCATTTGAGGCGCAGCATATGATTCTTCAGTCAATCCAGCGGCATCTCGAATATCATGCATTTTGGTATCTCAAGCGGTATTTCCTCCCGGAATCTGTTCGAAGTGGATGGACCTGCCCTGAGGCGTTGGAGTTGCACAAGCTGTTTCCATTTTTAAACCGACACCGACACAGACCGCAAAGGGAATCTTCCAGTCTAGCTGTCAGCAATATTCAAGGCTGGAAACGTTCGATTTCGGCTATTCGACACGCAGCCGTCCATCGTCTCGCACAAGACCGACAATCACTTTTGCAGATGACCCACGCAGCCATTGGGTTTGTCCGATGTTTGAGTGGCCCCTCTCATACCAAAAGTCTCCGGCTTCTCAGGAAATACCTGCGGGTCGCCCTTCCAAAGCCATCTCGACGGTCTATCATTCCACGGCGACAGGGAGTATCCCGTTCTTGCCTAGCAGAGAACGGGCTCAGTGATTCGTCGCAACCCTCCATCACATTGCCAGGATCTGTCCAGACAATTCTTCAACTTGTGGAGAATAACCTCTCCCACGAGGTGCGACAATTCTTAGAGAAAGTGTTTGGGTGAGGCGCAGCGCAACTCTTGGTATGGCCGAGCTCTAGACCGGTTGCGCGGGGGTAGGCCACTGGCAGTTGTTGTCACTGCCTCGTCATCATTCCAATGTAGTCGAAATTTTCAAACAGGCCTTCGTATAGTGTTTCAGAAATGATAAAAATCAGCGAGATGACCACTGTCTTTGTACTGTGAGTAAAGTAAAAGGCTAGCCTTCTTAGTGAATATGGAAACATACCGACTGTATGCATTCACGGCGAGATCATTCCTGTACCACCAACAGTACTCTCAACAATATACCAAGTTCAATCTAATGGAGGCTTGATGCTCTGAGGACTCTTTAGGAATCCTCGGTCGAATCTGAACGAATGCATAAGACGGATGACATAATACGGAGGTTGGGACAGTTCTGGACTACCATGGAGACATTTCGTGGTGCTACTACAAGCCCCTGAGATCAGATTTTCTCTTCACTCTACTCACGATCTGGGGGATCTCATACTATCAGGAGCCGCACGTGATCCGAATCTCGGTCGCTGGCTGAGTTGATTTCTGCAGATCGTTCTGCGTACCATGGATCATATATCTGGGGATTTTTGATGACCAAGTGGGGCTCACCGTTGACTTCCGAAGTGTAACCGTTCGGATGCCTCAACAGTCTCCTTGTTACAAGAGCCCATTCCTTGTAAAGGTAAGATACGCCTCCGCACCTTTGCACCTGAGCTAAAAGTCTAGGCAAAACGGGTGTCTGGTGTGTCTGATTACCTCTGGTAACATTTCCTATATAGGCATTTTTGTAATTTGAGGTTCAATTAGTTTGAATAGAAGATTCCTGGGCTAACACTGCTGTTGACCACCATCTTACAGATTTCCAGATTTTTACAGATTTACAGATTTTGAGAAATGTTATCAAGTTTGAGATACCGGTAGCCCACAAAAGCGATGGCTTGTTCGCTATTCAGTTGTCCTGTCGGACGTCGTCTGACACATCATAGGAATACTTTGTCACCATAACAGCCCGCAAATAATGACTAGATTGAGGAATCGAGGGTTGCCGAACACCAGGTAAAATATGCTGCATGGAGAATAGAACGTACACCAATTCCCAAGGTCAGCGCAATGGAACGGGTGACCCCAGGACTTGCCTCGAAGATTTCTAGAAACTTCTCCTTCCTGGGAACAGGTAATATTATGAAACATTCCATATAGTATACCCCCTCTACCAGATTGGCCGTACCAAGCTGCCTGGAATACCCGCAGTGTCACTGTCAGGGTATATCACTGCATCGGCCCCACTCAATACCATACCATAAAACGCTGCCAATCGCTGCTTAAATGCAGCGGGTCTCCTGCAGGATTTGGTCTCATCTATGTGGATCTGCTCTCGCATTTTCATTTTTTGGCCGAAGACGTTAGCTATCATCTTTATTGTTATAAGCTCTTGAAGTGAGGGCCGGATTTTGTGACGCCGATACCCACTACGGAATGGAATTTTGCCCGTTTGGTGGCGCATTGTCTGTTGCTTGTCTATCTTTCTTATGTTTCAAATCAGAATATACAGAATGACTTGCTTCAGGATCGCACCGGATTGAGAACAACCAGGCAGAAGCTTATTTCCTACGGACGACTTAACTCAGTGGGAAACCATGGGATAAAACAATTCTTGAACCCTGGTTGATTTGGTTGATTTATTTTATTTGGTACAGGCCAAAAGTTCACGGGCATATTTGAGTTCTGCTGGACGACTTTAAATCGATGATGTGTGGGCTTGCTTCAGTACTTTGCCCAGATCAAGGTGATTCAGATAGTCAAGAATATCCATTCTCATATTCATGTAGCTTATCCGTTTCACGATCGTTAGTGAACGGTTGGCTTAAGCCAAGAAACTTGCGTGCACGATTCACTGAGGTCTGTATCTGTCCCGAATCCTAATTTTGACAATTTTTCGATATCCCAACCAGATATGGAACCTTGATCGTCAGGCACAGGTTTTCCCATCTGTATCGACTTCCCAAACCGGCACTTTCCGGAAGAATAGGAAAACTGCAGGCAATCTGGGTTCGTAGAGCAGGAAGAGCCGCACGCTGCAGCAGAAGAATGGGCAAGGGAGTTTTCTGGTTGAGTAATGTCGGAGTAGTTGTCCCAGAATGCCCGGGTCGACTCATTGCGGAGATGAGAATGGGTATATGCGAGTATGGACGAGTGAAGAAAAGGTTGCTAACAGCGTTAGCGGTGGACACATCCTCGGCAGAGAGAACGACAAATACCTCGTTATATGGCCTCGTGCGCTCCCATTCCCACAGCGCCGTCATCTGCTCTGGCGACATTCTGTGAAGCGCAAGCAGTGGAATACACCACCTCTCCCTGTCCACTTTAAGGGTCCCGAGTTCGTCACCAGCAAACGTAGGATAAAGACCTTCCAGTTTCACTCCGGTTTTATCTAGGATTGCATAACCAAGCACGGCATCGCCACAGCAGTCCTTCTTAGCCCAGTCCTGGTATTGAACACTGACGCGAGAGTCAATGCTGGAGTCTCGAATGAAGCGATTCATTACGCCCGTTGACAGTACAAAACCTGCACCGCCATACGCAAAATATCGACCGTTAGATCCCGGAACCGGTGACCCTATATAATGCATCCTGGATGGGTCGAGCTGATCGAGGATGCGAAACAATGTGTCCCAAAAGTAATAGGTGTCGGCTTCGATGAAGACATACCAATCAGCGTGCGGGCGCATTTCATACGTCTTCTCAACCATAGGCAAAAACTTGAAGCGGTCGAGTCGCCAGCCTTCCTGCGAATAGCCTACTGAACCACCTTGTGAATGTGCCAATTTCTGAGCACGGTAAGCCGCAAAGTCCGGGTTGTTAAAGGCATAGGTTGGAGGGAGGTTTTCGAGTATATCAATGAAGTGATGCCGACCAATTTTCTCGTCATGATCGGAAAAAACGATGAGGTTGGTTATGCAGGAAGTAACGGTAGAAAGGTGTGCTCTGCTCTTCTCAGGCTCGCCAGTGCCAGTTTTAAGGACGACTTGGATGCGATCTAACAGATGAGTGGGAAAGTCTGCACAGAAATCAGGAACCTTCAGGTTGCCTTCTCCGGCATTCGCAAGCGGCGGAAAAAAAGGCCGGGTCGCCCATGAATAATAGCGCTGCCGTCCTTTGGAATAATACGGGGAGTTTGTCGGAGAGAACACGTCTGATGATAGGGGGTATTGAGATTTGTGGACAAGGTAGCCGAGACCGAGCGCGAACGAAATGAACAAAATTGTTATATACATCCCACGCCTTCGGAGCAGCCACGATGACGGAAGAATGAGCATTGCTAGATCTGTAGAGGGACTAGACGGGAATGCGTTGTATGATCAGTTCGATTCTTTCTCCTCGTGACGCCACCACATACCAGATATCACGGGCCGCGCTATTGACTGTGTCAGGGGGTTTGTAACAATAGAGGTCCGGTTCGTGACTAAGTTAATATATTGGCGAAATGACCGCTTCACTAACGGCTGGATCTGGCATGATATTATGTGATCTCAGAAGTGGGGCCTTGTGTTGAAAGCTTATGGAACATCACTATAGATAGCCCAAGGGAAATAGGAACTGGCCCTCTAGACCTTGCTTGGCTAGGCAAAAGAAAAAATTGCCTTTGTGCGAGGCATAGTTTCGTTGGTATTCAAGAATGATATGCAACGCGATACGTCGTCGCATTTTGGAGGGTAGTAGGCAGGCTATATTGGGTAGGCGGTGTTCTCAGCGGTTGGTCTCAGGGGTCTGTCGGAGACTTTTGTGATGCTACTGTACAAGTCACACCCTAAAATCAGGTGCTGTATTCAAATAACGATCAGACCTAGTTTAGCTCACGGCTAGCCGCTTTAGGAGTTAGCTCCTCTTGAAAAAAGGTTTGCGTGGCCCGGCTCGCCCCGAGGGTAACGTGAGAAAAAATTTCCGTTCTTCATTTTCCTGTTCCTCGGGGGTTCCCGCAGACCCCGAACTCCACGTGACCGATTACCCAAGGCAGCAAGATAACTGGGGGTGGTGCCGATGTTGGAAGAGCGCTACGGATGATTGTCGGGGCCAAGACACACGAAGGCATCACTTAAGTTCCTCTAAGCGAGAATCAGGTGACCAGCACGAGGGGGGAAGTGAAAGAAAAAATCACCATCGGCCACTAGAAGTCATCCGACAATGAGGGCTACATGTAATTATCGGACCGTAATCGGACCGTAATCGGACCGTAGTCTATAGTCCGGGGTAGTTTTCCCGAACTTTACCCGGGCCATCATACATAAGAATGAAACAAGAAAACATAGCCTTTGGTGCTAAGATAGCCTCCCGGATATCCGGAAATAAAAAGCAACTGTAATAAACTAACAAAAATAAACTAAAACAGTCCTCATCTTCCAAAATTCCAATCAGATTCTAGATGATGTTTGCAATTGAGAATATATCATGGAAGAGTCCCTTAGTAAGTCTTACATTGTTGATTGTTCAAACCCACAGTCAAAAATCCGGAATGATACAATCGAGAGGAAAGGCTGGGGGTACCTTAAGGCCTGGGAACCTGAGGCGCCGACCAACTTAGTCGGGATTCCAGCTGCACGATCTTCTACAACCACCGAGCTAGAACCTGGGCTTATCCTATAATGGATTGGTCTATTTTGTGGATCTTACCTTACATAGCTCGCTCGATAGCAGTCCATAGACCATCACATAGTCCGACCATCTACAGTGAAATTACCTTGCTAAAGTCAAATTGATCAAAACTCTCCGAATAACCTTTATACCCAGTCCAAAGCGAGCCAGTGCTCCGGAACGCTTGCTACGTAGTCCCCAACTAATAGTATCCTGCTGGGTCTTCGGAACGATCTTAATGCGAGCATACTGGTTTCCCTGGAAGAACCACGCTTCATCCGGGAGGGCCGGGGCAGGCGGTACAGCCTCGACTGTGGTAAAGCCAGCCTTAGCGAGGCACAGCCAATGCTCGTGAATAGGCATGGGTCCAAAGGTGATCCCACTATCTGGTTTGCCAGGAGTGAGTGCAATACGGAACATATCGACCCTGATTAAAAACTTATGTTTCATTAGAAATCCTGGGTACAGGCGAAGTTGGCCTCGACCCGACGGCCAGTAGTATTTAATGTTCGCCAATCCAAAAACAACGGTGTCGTTCAATGTTGGTTGTGATTCTTTTTTTATCATATAATAATCCGACTGAAAAGCCTTACAAGTAGAGTCCAAAAACAAAGCTATATAAATAGATTAAAGGTCCCCATAATACGACTAATGTAGATAGCCCTAATACACAATCCATACAGGATTCAAATTCTTGTTTCACCTCACAGGCAAAGCAAGCACCCCACTCGGCGGACAAACATGCATATCAAAACACTCCGGTCTCACCGGCCTGATACACCTAGTCCCATCAGGTGGACAGATCGGTCTCTGCGTTCCAATACAAGTCGACCCCTGCGGGGTAGAACTAGGCGGACATTCGGGCGGAGTTTTAAATATGCATGCATTACCATTGAACTGGAATCCCGGCGGGCAAGAAGGGGGTGTGATCGAAATACATACAGCACCATTGAAACTTGTACCTGGTGGACAGCCGGGTCGCTCGGAACTCATGCACTCATTCCCATCGTGAGATGTTCCGGGGGGGCAGGTCGGAGTGGACCAGAAAACACAGTTCCTACCGTCGAATGTAGATCCGAGCGGACACTCGGGGCTGACGTCCGCGACGCAGGTTCTGCCGTCGAAGAAGAGGTTTCCAGGACAGGTGGGTAGCACTGTGGAGATGCAGTTTCGGCCATCGAAGGTGGCGCCTTTGGGGCAGGAGGGTTGCACGCTGGATATGCATGCGGTACCGTCGAAGGTTGATCCGGAGGGGCATTTAGGTGGGGTTAATGAAATGCATACCTGGCCGTTGAAAGTGAAGCCCGGTAGGCAAGTTAGTTGACAGTTGGTAACACAGGTGTTTCCGCTCAAAGCCGTGCCTGAAGGACAGGATGGTGGCTCTGATAAAACACAAGCGAGTCCATTTAGGGTTGAGCCTGGGGGGCACTGGCGTGGCTCTGACTCACGCAGGTATTGTTGACGAAGACGGAGCCAGGTGTGCAGGATGGCTGATCGGGTGAAGCGCAGATTTATCCGTTGAAAGAGGTTTGCGGTGGGCACTGAGGTGGCTCAGTTAAGATACAGAGATTTCTGCTGAGGGTGGAGTCTGGTGGACATGGAGGTTTCAGTAGAAATGCAGTTTTGGCCAGTGAGTGTGGTTCCAGGAGGGCATGATGGTCCGCTAGACCGCACAGGACTCGCCGTTGAACGTGCTGTCAGGGGGGCAAGAGGGTCGTTCACCGGAGAAGCAATAGCGTCCGTTGAAGGAGGTACCTGGGGGACAGGCTGGTTCCTCGGTTGGGGTGTAGATGCAACGAGTGCCATCGGTTACGCTATAACGGGCTATTCTCCCTTTTAGGCGCTCTTAGGCTATTCGCTAGACTTCCGACAACGCTTCGAGGACGAACCGTTATTAAGGGAGGTACCCGCGGTAGCCGCACGAGTTAAGAAACTTAAAAAACTCTGTACTAAGCTAAAGAATCTGACGGCGCGGAGGGCCTTTCATAGGAAAGAGGGAGAGTTCCGCTAGGGATGGTAGAGCATACCAAGATGGTATGATATGCCCTGAAGAGGATGGAGCACACTACGATGGTATAGTATGATCAGATCCTGGAGAAGGTAGTGAGAGGAGAACGATAGTATTCTCATCTCAAAGATGGAGAGGAATGATTGTGTTCAAGTCTGGTCTGCTAACTAGTCGGTTACGCATGATATTCATTGGCTGTCGAGGCTGATATTCACTAGCCATTCATGAACCCAAATATGGGCGCCTGGTGGAATGCGACTTTTCCTAAAGGGGAAGTTTGAAGCAACGGCCAATAAGGTGGCAAGATTGAGTCAAACTTATCAAGGGTGATTCGGCAACATCAGCAGTCAACTTTATGATCCGAACAAGGCTTCTCGGTCAATTCCGAGCCTTTCCGAACACATACCGAGTCGCCCACAAGAAAGACTCGTGAATCGAATCTGGGGTATCAAACCCCCACTCGCTTACGCCTTCGAGGCGTGAATACCACAGAAAACCACCCTTTTATGAATAAACCGGTCGTCCGCGACCCTGGCTATGCGTGCGGCTTCGGCTGCCAAAGGTTGAACGCTATCAAAAGGAGAATGGGAGCACTGGGGACCCGGCGGAACCTTTTGGAGAAGACCCTTCCTGCCACAGACTTGCTTCGCTTCTTCTGCCTGCCAGCGTCAGTTGATAAGGTCAGTGAAGCTTTTCACCAACAGAAAGGGGGCAAACTTCGCATCCATCCGTACTCCAAAGAGACACCGTTCAATCCACACCAGCCTCGAAGGATGCACTCGTGCCGCGCTAGCAGTGGATCCCGTGCGAGCCCTTGACCGGCCAATGAGAACACGATTTTCCTAATGGGCGAGACCCCTCGGGGAGGACTAATGGCACGGCTTTGCTGCTAATTCGGTGCTCGCTGTAGCCAGATCATCTACCCCAGCCGCGTGTGGAGCCGTAGGCTGGCACACCGTTTGGCCCCAGACAGCTTCCGAGTGTGCCGGGATCAACACTAGATCCTGGTGCCATGTAGCTAAATATCTGGGGCGACTACTTAGTTAGCGGCATAACGCTTGCAAGCAGGTATCCGTGCCTTCCAGCGCACCCACTCGCTTCCGCTCATGGGTGCGCCACATTAACTTCGTAAACCACAATATCTTCGTAATGTACCTTTTGTATAGCCTCACCACATAAAAGATACATCATTATCCAAAATCGTTTTTCATAATAAGTGCGATTTTTATCTTGATTTTTTCCTACATAGAGAACTACCTATCCAATTTAAATATCTTTACTATCTAAGAATAAAATTTCATTCAGAAGGGTAGAATAATTTGCTATTTATTTTTCCCCTAAGAAAAATTTACTATGAGTAAATTTTAAACACATTTTATTACTCTGATTTTAAGCTAAAACTTATAAATCACTATAGAGTAGAATACGATTTACCCCTACTCATAATATTATTATATAAAATCTTACTATCACTTTAAAAATACTGAGAAATCCAAGAAAAACTAGAAACTGGAAGCAAGTACCTTTTATATAGTGAGGCTATACAAAAGGTACATTATGAAGATATTGTGGTTTACGAAGTTAATGTGGCGCACCCATGAGCGGAAGCGAGTGGGTGCGCTGGAAGGCACGGATATGGACCCACCATATTCCTTAATAGGCTTAGCCTTAGATTTATGTGACTCGACGGAAAGATTTATGTGTGACTGACCTGCGTCCTCGTAAAATAGGTATCCCTTCCTCAGTTCGTAAATGATCGCTGCCTTGGCGAACCCCTCTTCGGATAAACCTCGGTCGTTATTTGGCATCACTTCTCCGGGCATCCTTCCGCCAACCTTAAGGGCGCCGATATTAATGCTCATATTGTAGTGGGGAAACTGGTGACAGTGTGGAGAAGGTGCTTGAAGTAAGGACTCGCTGAGTACTCCGTACTGTCGATTGAACACTCATTTACGAATCAGCCTCTGTTTCCTTTTTTATACTAGTCTGGATTTCTGTTCCACGTCAGGTTAACTATCAGAGATACAACAGCCGTGGACACACACACACTGATGAATACACACTCTTTTGATTCTCTACTCCTGATGACTTTCCTTCCTTCTCCGGTCTCTCAGTATGATCTCTAGGTGTGGTGATGGTTATCCTCCCCTATCTCGACCCCGTCTGCTTGGTCAGACTGCCGTCGGGCGCTTCCCTCTTCAATATTAATTTTCCGCATAGTGGGCCGCATACCAGGAAACGATGCCTCCCCACGATAGGATCTCCTCTACCACCTCCCGTGGCTCGGACCTTGACATCGCCCGGCGTTCCGGCGCCCGAGAGCTTAGCGATGCTACGGCAATGATTCACGGCATTTTCTGCATGCCCGGGATACAATTTGGCCGGCTATGATTTTCTTCTTCAGAACCGAACGCTGACCATGGACTATTCGAGTGTGGTGGCTTGCCCTTCCCCACATTATGTATGGGACCCCAAATTTCCCTGTAAGCAATACGGAGTATATTAATCTGGGGATGCTCCCGAAACATGATAAACAGTATCAAGCTAAGCATTGTGTTTATAGGCAGCTGACACTTACCAACATGCTCGCCTTCACTGTCAGCTTTATCGCTGCGTGGGCGACGGTCCGTGCGGCTCCAGCCACGAAGTCGTCTCCGACTGCAACAGTTCGCAACGGTACTTATGTTGGAGTGTATAGCAGTACTTATGATCAGGACTTCTTCTTGGGCATGCCCTATGCTCAACAGCCTGTGGGGAATCTGCGCTTCACCGTACCGCAGCCATTGAACGAGAGTTGGGATAGGACCCGCGATGCGAAAGCCTACTCTGATATTTGTGTTGGATATGGCGTGAGTATTTTAATTACCTTTCCCTCGAAAATTCTATGCTAATAATTCTGAAGACGGACTCTATTTGGTATCCCCAATCAGAAGCCTGTTTGACTATCAACGTAATCCGAGGCTCGTCGGCCGACGAACACTCGAAACTCCCTGTAGGAGTTTGGATTCACGGCGGTGGCTTTTACGAGGGATCAGGGGCAGACGAGCGCTATAACATGTCAGTAATTGTAGAAAATTCTTACAACATCGGTATGTTTCAGGGCCATTGAACCTTCCGTTTTCGTGCCCGTTTATCTAATTTTGAGGCCCAACAAGGAAAACCATTCATCGCCGTCACTCTCAACTACAGGCTTTCTGCTTGGGGATTCATCAGCTCGAGCGAGGTCTGGGGCAGCGGAAACACGAACCTTGGGTTGAGAGACCAGAGACTGGCGCTCCAGTGGGTTCAGGAGAACATCGCTGTGTTTGGCGGAGATCCCGAGAAAGTCACTATTTGGGGTGAATCAGCCGGTGCAATGTCCGTAGGCTACCACCTAACAGCGTATGGTGGCCGAGACGACAAATTATTCAGAGCTGCGATCATGGAGTCCGGAGGTTCTATTAGCGCAAGTCCTTCCAACTACACGGCATTTCAGTCCAGATATGATACTTTGGTTTCTAAAGTGAATTGCAATAATGCGGTCGATTCGCTCCAATGCCTCCGTGAAGTGCCGTTTGAGAAACTCAATTCTGTTCTGAATGGAACTGATGGTTCATCTGAGTATAATTTCTCACCGGTTCTTGATGGTGATTTGGTTCAGAACTGGGGAAGTATCCAGCTGAACAATCACGAATTCGTCAAGGTGCCGATCATCGCGGGGACTAATACCGACGAGGGAACTGCATTTGGACCGACGGGAATTAATACCACTGAGCAGTGGTACGACTACCTTACTGGTAAGAGCGAGACAATAACGATGTCCCTTTTCAATGACTCACCTCTTCTCTAGATGGGGGGTTTGATTTCCAAACTCCACCATCCGTGGCCAAGGAGATCCTCAAACTCTACCCAGATGATCCATCTCAGGGCATCCCAGAATCCTTGGGAGACAAGAGAGTTCCCTCAATGGGCTACGAATGGCGACGTACAAGCTCTTTTGCGGGCGATTTTACAATGCACGCAAATCGTCGACGACAGTGCGAAGCCTGGACTGAAACTTCCACACCCGCATACTGCTACCGATTCAACGTGCACTCTGCCGACGTGCCGCCTACCGTGGGCGCGACCCATTTTGAAGAAGTGGCTTTCGTCTTCCACAATATCGCAGGGCAGGGCTACCACTACGGAAAACCATTTGCTGGGGTACCGCAATCTTACATTGACCTGAGCTCGATGATGACCAGCATGTGGGCTTCGTTTATTCATGATCTAGATCCCAATTCCGGCGTGGTGAACAAGTCTGTTCATTGGGATGCTTACGAGAAAAACAAGTCGGTCGATCTGTTCTTGGATGCGAATACAACCAGTCATATGGAGGCGGATACCTGGCGCAACGAGGGGATTGACTATATCAACTCGGTAGCCCGAGCATTCTGGAGATAAGCCGTGTACTTTTTCTTGGGTTTGTTTGATTATAGACGCAGAATATTGATTGATACAAAGAGAGACACAATGAATACTTCTTGAGCACAATGCCCTTTGTTTCCAGTCCCACATGTGTGTTTATCTTCATTTTCAAGTTTACGGACGCCTTTGTTTGGTTACCACATGTTTCAGTTCGCAGGAACACAAAGCTGCTCCTATCCATTGTTTAACGCACTACGCGACGTATGAAGTGCCATATAATGCTCGGAAAATCCAAGATATAAATAATTCGCCTTTTTCAAAGTGGTCTTTCCCTAGAACTTACTAACTACCACCACTAGGTACCGCTCCGCACGAATTTTCGAACTGTTCGAAATTCGCGAATTTTGACGAATCGAATCGCGTACAGATTCGAAGTTCGAGAACTGTTGAATATCACGGTGGCTGAACCTTATGAAAGGTGGCTGCACCTGGCAGGGATTGGGAACAGATATATATACTCGGCATCTGGCCCCTGTATTAGATGAGACATATAGTATAACAACAATCATCAACCTTACTATCACCCACTTCAACAGGTTATGAGTCCGAAGCGCCACCTATGCGTAACACTTGAGAACTCCACCTTAAAAGGCTAAGTCTCCACTTGGAATGATACGTCCATTAAGTGAATCGATTGATTAACACCGTCAAGGACCTGCGGACATGTCGAAGGAGCATGAAGACCCTCGAAGAATGAAATGAATCACCTCCTTCCGGCAATCACAATACCACATGTGACAGACACTATGGTGTTACAAAGATAACGCAGACAACTGTGATTCGTGATTGTGATCACGGTGTGACAGATGCCACGGTGTCCGAGAGGCAATGCTGACATGGCGACCCCTGATTTGCTGCTATAATCACAGTGTGACAGATATCACGGTTAGCTCGGAGATGATGCCGATATATGTGACTCGTCACCATAACGAAAAGCGCACTTCACTACGAGAAATTGAATCTGGACAAGCTATATGGCTCTCGCAGCGAACTACAGAATCTGCCTCTCAAATGTCGTCTCTAAATCAAAGGAGAGCACCATCTCGGTATCAAAAGAGACCATATAGACACAGTTGGACCGACAGAGAACTCAATATACTGTCACACTACCTGCAAATCCATCATTGGAGTGCCCAACAAATCCGAGAATCATTTTTCCCATCGCTATCCCTTGGAGCTGTCCGCAAAGCCTACACTCGTCTACCCGCCGAAGAACGCAAAAACCGAGCCTCAATTGTTTCAAAGCGTCACAGGGCCTCTAACACTAATTTAACGTGCTCCGCTCTCGAACCTTGCCACCTTTACATCCCAATAAACGTCGACACTACTGAAAGCTCCGCGCAACCTCATCCTGTGACCCGGCCTGAAGGCAACTTTGGAATTCACGGATCCTCCACATTGAGGCGTGAGGAAGACGACCGACTCCCTGCCACCGTTGAGAGGATAAAACGATACAATCTTCGACCAAAAAGGTGCCAAAAATTCCTCGAAAATTTGTCACGACAGCCTATCGACCGGCTCCGCTTTCCCCACTTCTTTAAGTCATATAAGAAACACTTGATTTTGGACGGGGCGCCTGACTCGGACTACATCCCTCCAACCAAATCACCTTCGCCAGATCCATCTGACCGAAGTCCTTCCGTCGTTTCGAGTCTGCCCAGTGCCGCATCAAGTTTAGAACTCTTTGGTTTAGAAGCGTGTTCACCAAGCCCCTCAGATCACGACTCCTCGGGCACCTCCAGTCTGCCCAACAACGGACCACGTCCAGAAATCCTCAATCTAGAGGAGAGTCCATCTTCACCATGACCGACATCGCAAAATTCGAGCAATTTGGACTGAACACGTTCTACAATGGCATCCCGACACTGGATAATGCCAGTGACTGGTTTAAGTGGAATCAGAGGGTCAATGAGTTCATTCGAATATCGGCCGTTGCTGACGATGGAACGACTCCCCCGATTGAAGAAGAAGAAGCGCAACAATGGATTCATCGCCAAAGATTCTACTCTGCAATGATCACGGCAAAGCTGACCTACAATGCGGCACAAAGGATTAACGCCTTTGAAATCTCTCGAGTCCAGACACTATTAAAAGCAGTTAAAGACAACTTCAAACCAGAAGGCACTGGTACCTATGTGAACCTTCAGCGACGGTACATGTCGCTCACACGAGAGAAATGCGGAAGCGCCCAGGCTCTTAGAGCCGAGATCAGGAAGATCCACGCTGAGAAACTTCTCCTTGACCCTGACTGCGTGAGCTCCGAGATTGAGCGAACATTCTTCTTCGTGCATGCATTAGGCCCTGAGTATGAAAGTTTCCGTGACCACATATTTCGGCAAATGGACCTCGTCAACGAAAGAGATGCCAATGGCAACATCACAAAAGCGGCACCTACGTTTGACTATATTGAGAACAAGGCAATCGAGGAAGAGCATAGGAAGGGGCAATTGAGCAAACAACCAACAGAGGCAAAAGGACTTCCAGCCCTCGCTATGATACGAGGACCAGGTGACAAGAAAGTCATACCGTCACCTGACGGAACGACATGTCGAATCGAGATCGACAATGTTCCATACTGCTCCTCCTGTCGGAGACCTTACCACGTGGACTCTGAGTGCTTCCGCAAGAACCCCAGACTGAGAGATCAGAAGAAAGACGGAAAGAGCCAGAACTCGAAGCCAGGTAATTCACATACAGGCCTACGCAAGGCGTTGAAGCGGCGGCCCTCCACGGATGACGACGACGATGATGTCGGTGGCCCAAAGGACCCAAAGAAGCCCACCTTCATGGCAACAACAGTCTCCGGAGAAGATGTCAATAAAGCATTCGGAAAAGATGTTGAAGGCAACCTCGCCATGCTCGACCACATTCCCACAATGATGGCTACAAAAACCCTGTCAATCCGCGACGCGTGGATCGTCGACAGTGGTTGCGCTCAGCACGTCTGCAATAATGCCTCGAGATTCGTCCAGATGGACACATACCATGGACCGCCACTGAGGAGCGTCGATGCTTCCACGAATCCCTCGGGGGTGGGGACAGTCAATGTCCTGTGCAACGTACGAGGCAGAAGGAAATGGCTTGTGCTTGACAGTGTCCTTTACGTCCCATCTGCACATGCAAACCTCATATCGGTGCCACAGCTCCTCAACCGAGGAGCAAAGGTCGAATTCTCAAGCCGAAGTGCCAGCATCCTCAATAAGTCAAACGGCAAGAACCTATACACCGCCAGCCAATATCATGGAGTCTATGCACTTGATCTCTGGACGAAGCTCACCTTTCTCTCCTACTATGTCAGTCCACAGATGGCTCTTTGGCACAAGCGGCTGGGTCACCTGAGTGATGCGAACCTACATCGGCTTAAGAAGCAGGCTTTGGGCATCCGGGACCTGGAACCACGTCAACCATGCAACCCATGCCTCCAGGGACGAATGATTGAAAAGCCTCACAGCCGCTCGGGATCAAGGAGACGAGGAGAATATGCAATGGAACTCCTCCACATTAATGTTGCCGGGCCATTTGACGAGGGCCTTGACGGCAGTCGCTATTGGCTCACTATCGTGGACGATTTCACAGGATGGATTGAGGTCATTCCTATTCCATAACGACAAGAATTTGTTGTGGAATCACTGCAGTACTTTCTTGATCATAACGAACGCCCGGAGCGAAAATGTAGACGAATACGCCTTGACCGAATCCCTGAATAAGTAGGAGAAGAGATGAAGTTTATACTGTTCTCACGGGCAATCCACGCCGAGGTCACAGGCGTTAATCAACACCAGCAGAATAGCGTTGCTGAAAGAGCCTACAGGACAATTTACGATCGGGTTGGGCCTACGCTAGCACACGCGAGTCTACCACCAAAATTCTGGCCAGAAATTGCTCGAACCGCAGCTTTCCTCTCCAACCGGTCGCCGTCATCAAAGATCAACATAACCCCGTATCAAGCTTAGTACGGCGACAAGCCGGACCTATCACGACTCCGGGTAATCAGATCCAAAGGGGAATACTTGATCCCACCCAAGCAGAGGAAGAAGCTCACAGAGACAAGAACTAGGCTATGCATTCTACTAGGCTATAAGGGAAATATCAACTACCGTATCCTGCTGGAAGACGGAAGAATTGTTAGGACCCCAAATGCTGAATTTCACGAAGTCCTTACAGCTCCTTGCACAGAGACTATAGAAAATGTGGGAGCCAGACGTGACGGCTCACCTGAGGCAACGGCTGCTACCGCAGGGGGAGCGAGACGGTGGGACTATTAAATAAACCGTCGGTAGGTATACGGCAAGCATCCGTGCCCGCCTCTGGGCGCCAATTGTCGATAGCACCGCCAGAGCGAGCCCTACCTAAGTCGAGGAAAGATATCTCGCACATACGGCCTCGATCGAGTGACGATGACTCACGAGTGCTAACCTAGTCGAGTGACGAGAACTCGCAGACACTAGCGTCGTCTCAATCGAGTGACGATGACTCGCAGCCATCTGTTGTTGTACAGGGAGACAGGACCTTGTCGCCTGCGCGGAGTGACGATACCTTTGGACCATTTGGAGATGATTTACAAGACATCACCCAAAGGAATGACTCACCACCCGGCGGCGACTAACAGCAAGGCGACGCTCAACAAGGTCAAATTTCAGGAGAATGGCAACGATATCCAGAACTCCAACTTGACCGCCCAATTCATGAAGTGCGACAAGAAGCACTAGAACACCACCCTGAACTCAAAATTCGTGCTCCGCAGGTCACTCTAGACACGTCTAGTGATAGCGAAGAGGAGCTTGCGTTAATGAGTATACCTGACGGAAACGTCATCCCAACATTTTTAACGTTGGCTGCAGAGGGAATCGAGCCCTTTGAGCCAAAGACACTTCAACAAGCAAAGAATGACGCAAGCTGGCTCGAATGGGAAAGAGCAATGCTTGACGAAGTGAACTCACTCAACCAAAACAAAACGTGGGAGCTTGTTGATCCTCCCAAAGATCGTCGGATTCTCAGCGGAAAATGGGTCTACAAAATCAAGCGAGGACCGCATGGCGAAGCCATCCGCTACAAAAGTCGATGGGTTGTGAGAGGCTTTACACAAGAAGAAGGTGTTGACTATGATGAAACCTTTGCCTCAGTTGTCAAGCCAATGAGCTATAAAGCTCTATTCGCAATCGCAGCGGCCCTGGACTTAGAGATCGAGCAAATGGATGTCAAAACGGCCTTTCTCTACGGATACATCGACCACGAGATCTACGTCGAACAGCCTCACCATATGACCGACGGCACACCAAGGGTCTGCAAACTTCGAAAGGCACTGTATGGCCTAAAACAGGCTCCCCGGATCTGGTATCAGACACTTACAAACTTCCTACGGAACCTTGGCTTCGAGCCAATCAGCGCTGATCTTGGGATCTTTGTCCGGAGCAACATGTACATCGCCGTGTACGTCGATGACCTTCTGATCGTGGGACCAAGTATTGCGGAAATAAGGAAGATCAAGCGGAGCCTCAGAAACCGTTTCCAAATGACAGATCTCGGACCATGCAGCTACTACCTCGGGATGTCCACCCAGCGAGACCGCCAAAACAGGGTACTGTACCTAAGTCAAGAAGCATATATTGACAAGGTCGCTCGTCAGTTCGGAATAAACAACAGCGCCCCCGTCAGCACACCGATAGAAACCTCCCCGCTTCCAGAGAACAGCCCAGAATACAGATGCCCTCCAGACCAAAGGATTACCTATCAACGCCTTGTCGGATCCCTGATGTACATTATGCTCGGAACTAGGGGGGATGTCGCGTATGCTGTCTCTGTGGCGAGCAGGTATCTGACAAATCCTGGACCACAACACATGAAACTTGCTCGACGCATCCTACGATACCTCAACGGCACGAAAGGCCTCAGGCTCACGTACAAGGGTCAGCACCAGATGCTGAAAGGCTTTACAGACGCAGACTGGGGGGGATGTCGCGACACCAGACGATCAACGGCTGGATATCTCTTCAACCTCGGGAGTGGAGCAATTAGTTGGCAATCGAAGCGTCAAAGTGTCGTTGCCCTCTCGACCTGTGAAGCGGAATTCCTTGGCCAGACACAAGCAACCAAAGAAGCAGTCTGGCTGAGAAGACTCCTCAATGAGTTGAACATGAGCCAAGGAAAAGCCGCAACGATTATCTGTGGTGACAACCAAGGAGCAATCGCCCTGTCCTCGAACCCGCAATACCATTCCCGCACGAAGCACATGGAAATCCAACGCAAGTGGCAAGGAGAGGTTCAAGACCTTGGAACAGTGGAGCTGAAGTACATTCCAACCTCTGAGCAAATTGCCGATGGGTTCACGAAGCCGCTTGCACGGGGACGATTTGAATGGTTTCGGAGAGGACTTGGCATTGAGTGACACCTTCCGGTTGACGGATCTCGGCCAGAAACTATGTTGCATGGGTACCCTTTCCTTCTTTTCCTTGAGGGGTTTTTTGGAGGTTTTAACGGGACCCTTCACAACCGTGATGGATGGTCGCTGGCACTCTTGACGGTGGTTGCCATCGAGTGGGAGTGTTGAATATCACGGTGGCTGAACCTTATGAAAGGTGGCTGCACCTGGCAGGGATTGGGAACAGATATATATACTCGGCATCTGGCCCCTGTATTAGATGAGACATATAGTATAACAACAATCATCAACCTTACTATCACCCACTTCAACAGATCTGTTCAATAATAATTCGAATCGAATCGAATCAGGCAAAAGTTCGATTCGATTCGATTCGTGCGGAGCGGTAGGCGTCGATTGATGGCATGGCGTGGAACTGCAGACACTGCCAGTCCTCATTTACCGCCTTCCCAATGAGGCTTTGGTCCCAAAAGTTCGCGAACTTCGAATCGAATTCGAATCGGCCGTGAATTCGAATTCGTACGAATCGATCTGTTCAATAATAATTCGAATCGAATCGAATCAGGCAAAAGTTCGATTCGATTCGATTCGTGCGGAGCGGTACCTGCACATGACTCGCAGACCATGTGCCCACATAGAATCGTCACCCAGTGATCTGGCTGCAAATAGCAGATCCTGCACTCTAAAACACGCCTTTCACTTTGCTGAGAAAGTTCCGCTTGCGTCTTTTCGTGCCTCTCCCTCTCCTGGCGAAGTTCATCTCGAAGCTTGCGATTTTTCTCTTGTAGCCGTTGCATTTTATGGCTAACCGCCTTTCGGAGCTCCTCAAAGGCGTTGTCCTGGTCCGTTGTTAGTTGAGGAAGAAGAAGGCCTTGTGAGGAACTGGTACCAATGCAGACAGCCCCTTCGTTTCAGTCCTTTTGCGTTTGCGTGATTGTGTCGTTTCCGTCTCATTATCGACCGCTTCAACGATCATGTCCTCGAACTCCCGGTAACTGTAATCACGGCGAGGGGCCCTCCGAGGTCGTGAACTACCTGGCTCGAGGCTTGGCAATTCCTCGTCATCGGTTATAACAATCGTGTCGGATGGGCTTGCCATCTTGTTCTTAGTTGTCACGCTCAGGGGAGGAAAGTCGATAGAAGCCGGCCTGGGAAGACGAAAAGAGAATATCAGAGCATGCAACCAGCTAGGGGAAGGAGGCCCTTTATATACCTGATACCCAAGAGTGATGGACTCAGCCCCTGGAAATAATTGGACATCGTGAGATCGCAATATCCTAAGATGCATTGCACGATTGGACGTCAAGCCGTGATAGTGATGAAACAAGGCTATAGCGTTGCATGCGCCGCCCTGAGAGGCAGACAATGTATACCTATATTTATCCGGATCCCCCCGCTTGACTGCCATTCAGGGCATCATGGCCTGCTTATTCTTGTCTCTGAAGTTCCTGCACCGGATTTGGGCAACGCTTGCGACTGCGCACATGATGCACATCAAAAGCATGGCGCTGGAACGCCATTTGATGTAGCAAGGCTACTTCACACCAGTTGCACTTGAGTGGCTCTTCTTTGAGATGAATGGCGTCAAAATGACGCGTAACACACCCGGCGTCATGATACATCTGGAAGCGAACACGGTCAGGGAGCCCCTTGTTTGCAAAGCATTGAAAGCAAGCCTCTGGCTTCTCAGAATTCTCAAGGTATGCTTTGGTAGCACGTGGCGGCTTGCTAGCGACAGAAGAAGGTACTTCACATGAGTCGGCATCATTTTCGGTCTGCCCTGTATCTTGCGGCTGATTTATGGGACCAGCCGATGTAGCGGATCCAGAGGCGTTCCGCTTGGGCCGGCCCCTTAATGGACCTCCTTCAAGGACGTCACAATACTGCACGACGGCTGCAGCACCTGTATCGCGCCGATTCCACTCATCCTCTAACGAGTTGGAGATTGGGTAGGGGAGAAGACTCTGCACTAGATGCAACTGAAGGGGATGCATGGTGTCCTCCAAGGATGACTCATCCTCGCTCTCTTCCTTTACCACTGTACCAGACAGCTGCGCCTCGATGTCTAGAAATGCTTGCTCTTCATCAAAATTCTCTCGGATCTGATGCCGCAAACTCCTTTGCAACCGTTTTCGCGTGTTTTTCACCTCTTTTTCCAGTTGCTGGATCCGAGGGAGCAGGGCAGGCTGCTGGGTCTTCTCGTATTGGGCACGGATCTGGCTAAGATTGCGCCGGGCCTCTTCCAACTCGGGGTGATCCTCAAGTTGTGCCCTTTGTTGATCGGTCAGATAGCGGGGGCGTCGCGTGTCCCGCCAACGGCTTTGCCGCGTGACGGCTCGCATCAGTTCCACATCCGGGTCGAGACCACAGATAATCCGGATCATGTCGGTGTCGAGTTGTAGAGGATGATAGTGGTCGAGGAAGGTCCGGGGGCTGGCGTGCTTCATAATCAACATATGTTGTTCCTTGCTCACCCACCCTACAGACTACATTAGCCACCGACGGAAAAGAAGGAAGAGAAGTATTAGTGGCCTCCGTAGAAGTACTTACCGCTCTCGTTGATCACTTTATCACTTCCATAACGGAACTGATGGGCATGGAATGCCCCTTTCCACCCACGGATCTCCCCGAAGGTGACCAGTAAGGTGGACATGGCCGACTTGGACATCTGCACGGTCCGCTGAATGGTGGGAACGCCATTAACCAGCTCCGTCTTACAGAATATATACCAATCAGACTTGTTCGGGTCTAAGGGCACTAGGAGCTGCTCACAGCCTTTGCTGATAAAGAGTTTCCGTAACTGCACCTTCGAGGTCAGCCTCGAATTCCGGAATGCGCGCGCATGGAACAGGATGCCGAAAAGCAATGTGTGCGGGCATATCACCAGAGAGGGACCATAGACGATCTCGGGAAGTGCAAAAGTAGTCCTGCTGATTGGTTAGCTGCATGACCCCAGCCAGATATTCCGGAGAGGATAAAGATACTACGTATCTGGGGGTAGCCGGGGAATCGAGAGAGGGAGAGACGGAAATTGCGCTCGCCGTACAATTTGGTCAGACCAAGGAATTTTTTGGTCCCTTCGGGAGTAAGTTCAATCATAGGGATGGGTGGGCCTCCACGAGGGTCCTTCTGAAGGGAGATTTGCAAGTCCTTGAACTGCATGCTCAACAAAGCGCTCCTCCGGTGCACAGTGAATAAAGCGAGTGAGTTGAACAGGCACACCTGGATGCGTTGGAATCCTAGGTTACTTGTCTGTCGGGCCAGGTACACGCAGTCCTAGGTAATACCCAGATTCCTCTAGGTTAGCATCAGGCAAGATCAGGGAACAACGCACACACCTGCGTCACGGTTGGTCCCGGTTTTGCACCGAAAATGAGGGCAGGTCTCAACAGCAAAGATTCAACTCGATTGGGCATCCAGGAAATCCCCAGTGATCAGTATTATTGTCGAGAAGCCGGATATCTTGTCATTGAGTTTGAACAGTCACGGGACAACGCAAGACTTGAACGGGACCGACAGTCAAGAGAAGGAGGATATAGTACCTCGCGCGGGGTGGTCACGGGCACTACGTGACTCACGTGAATCAACGACGTGCTATGCCTTTGTCAGTCCAGTGGAAGAACCAGAGGTTGATTAATAGGGAAGAACTTATTAGGGGACCGCTGGTAGTGTCTGAACTTTCTAGTCTAGTCTTGTTTGCAGAGGCCGAGCTTCTGGCTCCAAATGAAAAAGGCTTCGTCGGGTTTGGAAGAGCCATGCAGTGAGCTAGAAGAGCAAAAGACTAATGCGTAGTAGGGGGTATTTATAGACTTGTCGGCCTGCCTTGTCATGTGCTTTGTTTGGCACTAGCGCGTCTGCTATTGGGAGTGGCAACCGTCGAAATATAATCGTCAGTGCAGCTGCCCAAATCTGAGGCCCGCTGGAAAAATATTTCAAGTCAACTTCCACTTACATATTTGAGCCACAGTTGGAATGTCAATTTTAGTTGGTGGTCGAGAGAAATTGAGCTTATATTGAACTAGTGATGATGAGTCCGTGGATTAGAAAAAGTTGACAGATGAACATGCATTCAGCGAGGGTTCCATATTAGGCCTTGAGGTGGCTGTTCAACCGTCATCGATAAGATGCTTAGGCTTCGGCGTTTACCTATCCTTTCTGTTCAAGTTTAACGCTGACTCAACGATCAGTCCAATACTTTGCGAAAAACACCGGTCCAAATTCCAATACGCGGACGGCCATCGTCGGTGGGTATGAGCGTTGAAACTGGTGAACGGTGACCAAGTATCTTCAGTCTATGACTTGGTGTGGTGGGCCAACAACTAACATATGAGGATATGCTCCATCTCGTCAAGGGCTTAATCCTGAATGCAGCGGAGCTTTCTCACTGCGGGCTCATGGTGATGTTGCAAACAGTTTATATCGGGTACAAAGTTACAAAAATGATCTCCAACGTTGAGCTGCACTGGCAGATTCGAGCGTCATTAAACTCATCGTTGCAACCGAATTCTGTTGGACCTTCTGAGACGCACGTTAAGCTGGTTCCTTAGCCGGCCTCGTTGAATGCTCAACACGTTAGCAGAGTTGAACGTCAAAGAGAGCTTGTGCGTACAGCAGGTCCTCAGTGACGTCTCGCCTGAGCCTCCTGCCTAGCCCTCGATCACGAGGAACAATTCATTGCGGACAAAACCAAACCGCATGAGTGCAGACAGCGGCGGAAGCGCTGGTAAACAGCAAAAGCAGATTACGAGCCAAACTTCTTGACTCTTGGGGTACATTTGCTTCTAGGGCCCACCGTGGTATTCCTGGGGTGTCATGAAGGGATCCGGGAAACTATGATTAGTATTCCCAGGGATGTGCTGATACGTGCCTAGGATCTTGCACAGCTTTGTCCATCTAAGCCATTGAGGTATTTGGATACATAACACCGTTAGAGAACCACGAGCTCATTGACGGACAATATAAATTCGTGATGCGTCTGTTCTCGCATCCTCTCGGCTATGTTCATTTCATCCAATATCGAAAGGGTTACCTGGGCGCTCTCGAAATCGGAAATCCTCAATCTTGCCAGATCTGTCTATAAATCTCTCACTTTGGCCGCCAATTGCAGAGGTAATCCTGTCTCATATTGTCGCTAAGTGAACTCTGCACGTCAACTTGACTTGTTGTTCCCGCGCCTTGGGATTACCACCACCACCAGTTTCACTAAATTCACTTAATCTCTCCGTCCACGATGCCTCCACGCCGCCGATCCTGCTTACCGTGCCGTATTTCAAAACAACGATGCAGTCGCGAAGTGCCTTCTTGCCAGTCTTGCGTTGCCCACGGCAAATCCGAGTCCTGTGTTTATGAAGACACGAGTCCTCCAACTCCAGACCGTGATAATTTGCAGCCACGACGATCCAAGCGACGGGACCAGTGCAAATCCACCTTGGAATGTCATCAGATACAATCCCAAGGGTCGCCCAACAATGGGACAACAGTCCTACAAGATTGCGGTCAACCCGCCATCCAGCATCGAGATGAAGAACAAGCCCCCCACGTCTATCAAGCATCCTTCGTGCAGGGCACTAGATCCCTTGAGATATTAACAAAAGAACGCTCCTTAAATGGGACTTATGGGAAAATGAACAGCGTCTTCCACACAACCGCTAATGACTGCATCCCTTCTACAACCCTATCGGAGAACGTCTTGTGCCAATCAAAACTTTGTTGGACGCAACCATACTTTGAAATGCCCCTCCCGGTAGAGATTGTCCTACGGTACAGGTGTGTTGGAATCCAGAGCTGACGATTGAACAGGCTACCTTGCCATTATCTTACCAAATCCAAGGCCCAACTTCATGCTTTGTTGCAGCTGAGAAGAAGCCGCATACGATTCACCAACCCCTGCTCGTACTGAGCTACCTCTTCATTTCTACGATGCTTCCCGGGGATGAAGGGGCATTGTGGCGTATCATCTATCGTAGCGGAAACGACTGGGAAAAGGGGTTTGTTTTACAATACGATGGACTACTGTCATGGTTCATCGCCGCACGCGAGGCTTTAACCCGATCTGAAGCCCTCCACAGCATGTCTCTGGAAGAGTTGGAGCTCCAGATCAGGTACATCCAGTTCATTCTAGGACAACATGCATCGTGTCATTCAAGCTTCCTTCACACATGCTATCAGCGACCACTTCCTCCATACCGGCCTTTTGGGACCAAAGCAAGTGTCGCGCTGATTTGCCACGCCTTTATGGGAATCCAAGCCACAGACATGGACGGATATGAGTCCAAGGAGATCTGGTTACGTGGCGAAGAATTTTTTTCCACGATGGCTTTCCAACTAAAAAAATCGCCGCTTTTTCAAGCCGGGATCTCAGTACACCAACTACAATCGATGATCCTGAGCCTTCAAAGAGCCTTCCAGCTCGAGGAAGTCCGTGTCGCCTCAACAAAGCCGCAGAAGATTTTCATTAGAAATGGTTCAGATCGGACGGAGTATTATCGACGAGCATTTTTATCTTTGAACCCAATACTGTTACCGAAGATCTTGACATCAGCACTGGGGATAGAGCCGATGGCTGATTTGAGTATAGACTGCCTGGCTACTCTCCTTGCAAAGATCTTCCACGAGGCGTACCCGATGAAGGATTTGGAAGCTGCTTTTAAAAAGGTTCCCGAGATTCTACTGTCAAAGCCCGATCGGATCGTGGCTACGGAAATGTTTCACGTCAAAGCATTCGAGCAAGCATGCCAGATTGACAATCTTGGTGAGTACCCACCATGCAGGACAAGCAGAAACGAAACTGACGGCGATGGCGACCACAGACGATAGATCGCACATCTTTGTTTTCCATGTCTCACTCGAGACGGACACGTGAAAAGAATTGTCTATTTGGCTCACTTACTTGAGTCCCGCATGTCGGTATTGACCAGCAAACGTTTGTCCATTGTTGATGGGTGAGAAACGGATGCTCAATGTTGACGGTGGGGCTTACCTTGTGCAGGCGATGCAATAGGCGTCGTGAACCGCGTTCGACCGCTCCTTTCCTGGTGCAACCAAACATTCAGACAACGTCGTGGCACCCTATTTTCCGAATACATTGTTGGCACCTCACTAGTGACTAAACTGAGGATGCATAACTGCGGTCGCATGTGCGATTTTGCACTTGAAAAAGGTTGCTTAAAGTCTTTGCGAATGGGTCAACAGAAAGAGGATTTCTTGACTCCTTCTCCTCATTAGTTAGCCTTCTACTAATTATTAAGGATCACATGCCCATCTTAATCCCTCCTACCACGGACAAATCGTAAAGCAGACAAGTGTGCCAACCATGTATAAGCCTAACATGCGTCTTGGACAGTTCCAGTAACAGCATAGGCCCCAAGAAACGAGAATCCTTTAGTCCTTTTTGTAACAGCACTGAGTTCAAGTGATTATTGCCCTTCCATTCTGGGGGATAAGTAAGATAAGATACTTAGTAGTGAGTCTCCTATATAGAAGAGTCAAGCCAGATGACACGTTCGTAGTGTTGGTCAACGAACCAAACAATAGGACCTTTAAAAATTGTTGAAATATCTCGATTTTGACCGGGAGACAGTAAAAACAGTAACTTGCCTGGGGGTTATCAGATTTCTTTGCCGGTAGTCTAGGAGGGAGCCGAGTGCCATCACCGAATTCTAGTTTCTTACAGTTAATTACATGGTTGTTATGTGGGGCTCTCTCCTGCCAAATTCAGGTGAGAGCCCTCGAAAGAGGTAAGTTATCTGAGGAATAAGTTTTGTATATCTGGAAGATTAAGCTGTTTCAATAACTTCTGTACTAACCATAACCCTTTGAAAACAGCACACCTCCCAGCTTCGCCAAGGAAACTACAGAACCAGTAAAGTAGTCCAGTGGATTGTCCTGGCTTGTTCTAATACACGTGCAGTCACCATACTTCAATAGTTCGATTAGACTACAATTTTCGCAAAAGGTACAGTAAAACATTTGAATTTTTCCGAGGCCTGCCACTTGGGGACACGGGAGATGCAGGACATAGCAATAAATCCACCAATCATATGTATCCACGGTCACCGGGTGAACTCAGTTTCGAAAGACAAAACGGCAACTCACGCGACAAAGTGGCCCCGATAGGTGAATGCTTTCATTTCTAGCAATCCACTGTAGAACTTGAAAAGCTCGAGTTCGAAAGGGTCGTGGTTGGCACAGTTGACGCAACTGAGACCTGGGAGGATATAGTGTCAAATGAAGTCGGCTGGGGATTTTTGCTTGGTATCGCGGTCCATGAACTGCTTTCAGCAGTACATATGCTACCCTTTTGTAGAGCTTTGTCAATTTTGCAGCTCACTGCGTCTCCTTGGTCATTATGAAAGTAGAGCAGACCACTTCGGTACACCTCTACCCAGGCGAAATGACCACTAGAGATACATAAATTGGCTTTGACTGTATCGGACTCGGATTTGGTGTCGTTCCGCGCTGTAATCAGATCTGGAAGTCGTTAATACTAGCTCTTCATCAACAATGGTCGTCTTACCAGAACAAGAAGTGTCATTGAGAGTGGCAAATGGCTCTGAAATCCCAGTACAGTCGAAGTTCCCCGTAGAATACACGAAGCATTGCCCCTTATGGTCCATTATCTGAAGTGTCCCGGCAAGAACCACCGAGATGGAGGTAAAAAATGCTAGTAAAAGGTGCATGTCTGATTCACTGTAAAAGATATTATACCTGTCTGGCAAGAGAAAGTATTCTATCTAACAAGAGTCACTGCGTGTCTTGTATCTGCATTTATAGTTTCAGTTACCTAGTCGGAATCCACTCAAATGAACAATTTTTCTGTGGCAATCAAAATTCTGACTTTTCTAGACTCCACACATATATTTGAGGAAGAAAATGGCTTGGTGGCAACAAAATGATGCTAAAAAAGAAAGAGAGCGTTGATTCCAGGTAGTTACTGTAGAACTGCTTTAACAGATAACCGCGATAAGCCTGCACAGCTGTGGCCCCCCAAAGGATCTCTTCTCCGTTGTTGGTGACTTTCAGAAGTCGGGGTTTCCGGCGGGTCTTCGAGGTCGTCCGCGGTGTCCGCCTCGCACGACCAAACCGACGTTTTCATAGGATATGATATTTCCTCCCACGTAAGGATTCAACCGACCGGCTCACCCCGAATTGCTTCGGATAAGCTTGGGCGCGGTCGGTCCACGGCAGTTCGCTATTCTCTTCTAGCCAGGAAGAAGGTTATCTTCTTCCCATTCCGATCACGCTGTTTGTTCCATGAAGCAACTAGCCCTGTTAACGATTCTACACGGTCTGGGGACGCATGAGCTGGCCCTGGGAGTTATCGTGCTGCTATAATCGGTTTTCTACGTCTATGGAGCGAGAGGAATACTTCTGGGATTGGTCTAATTCAGATATCCTTAGATTTACCACTTAGCTGAAGCTCTTTAGAGTCCCTCAAAGGCTTTCCGGTCCTGGGATGAGCAAGTTTACTCCTAGGAGGGGTTTAAAGCTCTCAGGATGGCGGGCTGGCTTCCTAGTAGTGTAAAGTCTATCTCTGGGATCGTCAACAACCTTTCCTGGGAGCTCTATTGCTCCTAGGACTTTAGGTAAAGTTCCTAGAGGCAGCCACTGGTCATCTCAGGATCGACGAAAGTGTATCTAGGATCCGAATTCCTTCAAGTATGGATGAAGAAACTTTAGAGCAGTTTCGTGTACGGATCCACTCCTTTACTTCACAGCCCCATCGAGTTCAGGAACGCATTGGCTGGTCTTGGTAATCTACTGCTCCTAGAACCTCAGGTTGTTGACTGAGGACAACTGTAGGTCTCTGGGTCGACTGAAGCGCCTTGTTCTGTATCGCCCGGAGTGTCCCTTAGATTGATGTCAGGGATATGCACAAGCTTACATAGCACTTCCACCAGCCCCAGAAACGTGTAAGTCATCCCAATTCACGGCCCCGTCGGCGCCGGTCCAAACCGGCATCCTGCAAGGATCGCCGGTTTCGCCAATCCTCTACCTGTTCTACAACGCAGACCTGATTGAGGCATGCAAGACACAGGATACAGAGGCGGTTGGATACATTGACGATGTGTCTACCCTAGCAGTAGGGCCGACGGCACAGCGGAACTGCAAGACCTTGAAAAAGATGGACCAGAAAGCCGAACAGTGGGCAGTCAAGCACGGTTCCCAGTTTGCACCGGCAAAATACGAACTGGTCCACTTCACTAGAGACCCCAGAAAGAACAGCACACATGCTCTCCGCCTACCACATGCCACTATCGAGGCCTCCACGTCCTGCCGCTATCTGGCTATTTAAATGGACACCAGGCTTCGCTGGGATGACCATCGCGAGAAGGTAGAAGTGGGGGCGACGAAGCGGCTCTCGGCTCTGTCAGCACTCGCTTCCTCGACATGGGGTACAGGGACCGTCAATCTCCGGCATGTATACCGAGCAATGATTGTACCCCAGATGCTTTATGGCTGCTCAGCATAGCATGTCTCTAAGAACAGCTACACAAGCAGAGGAGGCGCGATGATAAACAATAATAAACACTATCCAGAGGATTCAGAGTCGTGCAGCCCAGATCATCACACGTGCATTCGGACAACAGCCGGTGCGGCGGTGGACGTAGAAGCGCATCTGCTCCCGGTGCAACAACAACTCGAGCAAACAGCATTGGAGGCCACGATGCGCATTAGAACTGCCCCGCTATACGTTGACATGGCGTCAACCGAGGTCGGCAGGAGCAGTGAACAGAGCCCCCTCGACCGCTTCTCGAGCATCCTCGAACGAAAATTTAAGGTGCAGCTTGACCGGCTCGAAAAGCGTATAACGCATGTGGTGCCGCCATGGTGGATTCCACCGTTCGTCCGCGTCAATGATTCTGCAGAGGAGGCATTCAAGGAGCACGATGCCATCGAGCCAGGAACGCTATGCGTCTACACCGACGGAAGTGGCATAGACAGCCACGTCGGCGCGGCTGCTGTAACGCGTGCACCACACGCCAATGGGCCCTGGACGAAGCGAACTCAGTATATGGGTACATCCAGGACCTCCACGGTGTACGCGGCAGAGCTCAGAGGGCTCGTCCTTGCCCTACAGATGGTACTCGACACACCGCAAATATGCGTCCCGCCGGACAGATGCGCCGCCGTATTCACGGACAACCAAGCCGCTATCCAAGCCATTCGGAATCCCAAACACCCATCCGGGCAATACATTCTGGTCGAGGCTATTCGAGCACTGGACGAGCTTATAAGCCAAGGATGGCAGGTACAGTTCCGATGGATTCCGGCACATGTCGGTGTGCCAGGTAATGAGGCAGCCGACCAAGCAGCGAAAGAGGCCGCCAGAACCAATCCAAGCACGGAAGCGAACACGGAGCGACCGCCAGAAGCAGACCCTCTGCGAACACTCACGGCAACCACCAAGTCCATCATCCGTCGGGTGATGAGAGGCGAGTGGGACACGGCTTGGGAGAATGCCAAGCACGGTAGAGAGCTCTTTAGGCTAGGGGTGAGGCCTGGGAAGGCGATACTCGACATGCATATCGACACACACAGAGCGATCAGCTCAACAATCACACAGATGCGTACAGGCAAGATTGGCCTGCGTGCCTACCTCCACGCCATCAACAAGGCGGACACCGATCAATGTCAATGTGGCCATGGACCGCAGACAGTACGACACATCCTGCTCGAATGCCGGAACTGGGTGGAAGAACGACATCGAATGTGGGCAGGCAAGACTCCATGCATCGACATCAAGCGTATTCTCTGTAACCCGCCAATGGCAGTACAAGCAGCCAAGATGATCTTGAGGACCGGACTGCCAGGACAATTCCAGGCAGTACCATCCACAGTGCTCAAATACATATAGCGAAGACGAGTGATTTTTGGTAAATAGAAGTAGAGGAGGGCCAGGAAAGGCCTGACAGGTACATAGATACAGAACGACCACTAGAGCTATGAGTCGGGGAGCGACTAGCCGGAGCGGACGGGGAAGCCATTCGTGGAAGGAAGGGCTTGTTTTCTGAAAGTGAGGGCCGGGGCACCTGTACTTATACCCACACGCTGCATAGCTGCCAATAATTGGGCGGCTGGGACAGTCTATGAGTAAATCAATCAATCAATCAATCAATCTTTAACCCGTCCTAAGAGTAAATTTGCCTATCCCAGAACCAAAACAGCTTTTGAGGGCGCTCAAGAACTTCAGCTAACTGGTCAACTTAAGGATAACTGAATTCCCAGAAGTATTTCCAGGCAATCCCTAGACGTAGAAAGCTCATTATAGTTGCACGATACTTCCAGGGCCAGCTCATATATCCCCAGACCGTATAGAATTGTTAACAGGGCTAGTTGCTCCTAGGAACAACAGCGTGATCTTAGAGGCGGTGTAAATGCCCCTGATGCATGAGGGGGAATTCATGATATCGAATAAATGCGCAAACGATCTCGCTAGAGAGGTTACTCCCTACCCAGGCTCTATGGGATACAACGTATTTATTCCGGTCACAAATTACGCGTTCATTCACAACTACATTTCTTTCGTACATCTGATCCAAACACATCAAGGTGCGAAAGCGGATCACGTATTAGATAATCAGATTTGTTGTGCGCTCGATCTGGGTGAAAACTTGACTCCACATACACGTTATACCTGACTAACCTGACTAGTGTCCTTTGCTTGTTTTTCAGACGTCACGGATTCCCTGAGTACAGCCAGTGTTCGATCGAATATAGCAACAAGGACGGTTCAATGTATTGTTAGTAAGCTTCGCAAAGTTCGAGAAACCCCCTCTTTGCGTTCTCAGAGGATGAATGCAGCACATACTGCTCTTGCTGAGCAGCCACGCGAACGAGAGGTTCGTACGGCATTATGGGCTTGGTGGCCTTCACAGAAACTCTCCATGAGGTGCAACTATCGGCCCCAATATCATCATGGATTACTTCCCACTGGAGGCGGACGTTTGCATGGCCACCAGGTTCTGAGACTAGCATTTGGTTCAGCGTACCAGTGACTTGTGAGTAGTCTAGCCACAGATTGTCGATAGGACCGTGGATACCGTGCGTGGTGCTCCAGTTTTCCGAAAATCGAATCTTACCAGCAAATATGCCAAGAAAGTCCCCCTCACACACGGGGACAATAGAACAGGCGAACAAGGAGCTACCATCTTTAGGCAGGAGAAAGGTGAATGTGGACTTATCTTCCTCAGTGTCTGATAGTAATTGGTAGTTATAGGGTGCGCATATAAGTTCAGGAGAGAAAGTCTGCAGACCCTTTTCCCTGAAGCTTTCTTCTTCACTGGAGAAGGCCCATTCGTTTTTGGCATTATTCCAAGTGGACTCGTGAACTTTTAGCCTCTCTACAACTGGGGGTTCTCAAGATCAGACAGGCGCATGAGGTCACCTTTCGCGAGTCTGAGAGCCCGTGTTTCGAGTTGTTCGATGTAAGGTCTATGTTGGGTCTCCCACTTCATTTCTGCATCCACGAGGGAGATCCTTGACGTCTTCGGATATCCCTTACAATAGCTGTCGAATTCTTTGGTGCGGTAATAGAGGACTTTGTCAATACCAGCTTCACGCATTTGGAAGAGGTTTTTCCAGAAAATACGGCATTGCCGTTGGTTTTCTGCACCCAACCCGTATCCAGCATCTTCCATGAATTTCTTGGTTGCAGCTTTTTCTGCCATGGTAAATCCGTCTGCCGGTCCTTTCGCGGTTGGTAGCTTTGAATGATCGATCAACGCAGCACCCTTGAGAATGATCTTCCAGAAAATTGTTTCATTGTATCGATTTTGCAGACCCTTACCCGTAGCCAAAGCATTATCTCTCCGGATGACGTCAATTGCCTTCTCATAATCAAATTCTGAGATCTCATCAACATATTTCCGGATCTTGTCAGGCTTGGTTGTTGTTGGGGCACCGCTCGTTGGATGCCCGTATAGAGCAATAGCGAAATTCACCCTCGCGCATTCAAAAAATATGGATGACATTGCTTTCAACGTGTACGCGGAGTCTGCTTGATAGGACGAGGAACTGTCGACGGGGAGATCCAAAAGGTGGGCACCTTTCACATGGTCGTTATTAGGCTAGATCAAAGGACGTTAGCCTCGGGTCAAGTACGTGAAACAAGTGTCAGATAGCAGAAGTGGCATACCTGTTGAGTTATATTTTGACAATCCACTTCGATAGGTTCATCAGGATTCTCTCAGAAGGAGATTTGTCACCACATTTTTCCGACCTCTTCGAAACAGGCCGCTTTCTTCTCTTCCTCGGTTCTGCGCCTACAAGATTTCCATAGTTCCTTTTTGGTGCATTCAGAATCCGATAGGAGCCACGTCCTCTGTGTAGTGAAGCCGGAGGCGTTTGTAAATCTGAGTCGGTTGTTCGTAACGGAGACTCTTCTGTGTTGCCATCCTGGCTCGCCAGATAAGCCTGCAGGACTAGAATTACGATCAACACCCATTCCATTAGCTAGGTAGAGTGCCTAACTTACTGTCATTATCGACTTTAGAAATCAAAGAATCAATGTACCCTTCGTTGTAGTCGATTCCAGAAGACGTGAGTGCGTCCCGGATAGCCTGGGCTAGAAAGCCTCGGGTGGTCTCGTCCATGATCTTTGGAGAATGCGCTGCGATCAAAGACGTGCACAAGTCTTGCACATTAAGTACCAGCCGCTTCTCTAGTCTAGAACTTTCGAGCAGACTGATCGACGGGCCAATTCCACCTAGGCGGGTTTGTTGACAGTTGTAAGCCAATCATGTATCCACAGCGTCTCCTTAACCAGATTTAGCAGTCCTGGGACGTAAATCTAGACCACATTGTGAGGTGAAGTCACTTTCTGGTCTGAAAAAGGCGCCTCCCCTCGCCCGGAGCGATGGCGTCCCAGTTCACGGTTTTCAATATCACATCGCATCTTCGCGTCGGTGGCTTGAAAGAACGTTAGGATTGCAGGCAGGGTTGAATTGACTGTGGTTGGCCAGTGGCCTGCTTAGTGGGAAGAGGAACGAAATGGGGACCCAGTGTGCAAATTTCGGAAAGACAAAGTAGTTCTCGCACAAGATGGCCTTGGAACTCCAAAAAATCTACAGGATTTGAGATGAAAAGGGCTGGTAGAAGAAAACATCAGCCATAGCCTAAAACATAACACCACAAAATGAATACCTACTCAACGGCTTGTTGAAGCCAGCACATTCGTTGATTTTGATTGAATGCGCAAAAGGGCGACCTAGCAAGGAAGCGGTGGAAAATGTTCCAGGATGAAAAGGACAGAGGATTGTTTTTAAACGGTGACTCACATCTAGATGAGGTTCTAGCCCCCATTTCTTCGTCGTGTTGATCTGCATCACGTGCATTTCCTAATAGTCGAGGTCCACCCACATTTCTCTGTTTTTTGAGTTCATTGTGGACTCCAACCCCCGCGCCTAGCCCCGCAAAGCTACTGTAACAGTCTTTTTATCTAAGCTCGCCTTGTCGGTTAGCTTCGCCTACTCCTTTCGGTATTCAATCAAAAGAACAAACGAGTTTGGTCGCAGGTTGCTGTCGTGGGCTGTCATGAACGGGTACGAGGCCATCGTCAAGCAGCTTCTCGCTACGAATAGCTCCATTATGCTTGCGAATAAAGCTGGTCGGACACAGCCGTGGTATGCCGCTGAGAAATGGATATAGAGTTTATTGGGCCTTTACGGAGCATTGAAAAGTGAAAGACAAGGACAACAGCACGTCGAACGCTAGTAGCACCGCCTTCATATTATAGCCCATCAATCCACTTGCATGCGTACAGTGGAGTGGCATATAGCGTTGTATACAATATTTTGATCGTCAAACACACTCATATGCCTCGCACAAGGGCTGGTTGACCATGCATTAGTCCTTGATACAATTTTATTATGTATTGTAGGTTTTCGAGCGGCAGAATGTATTGCAGAAAGGGGCGGTCAGGTAGCGGGTCACAGACTTTTGCGGCGCCACTGTACGGAGTAAGTTATGGCACTCCAATGTGGATCTAGGAGTAGAACCAGACCAATCAAGTCTTTTACCACGTTAACAATCAAAATCCCCATACATATTGTACGTCCATCCGTATCTCCTGTTCCATACTGGCAAAAAATGGCAGTCCACCATGAAGTCTTCTTCCATACGGAGTCTTCTGCCACATGAAGTTTTCTTCCACGTGGAATCGGCCCTCTTCCGTTTAATATAACATTTGACAAATAACGTCGCCTATATCACACTACCTTGTCTAGTCACAGCCGACTAAAGCATCATAATCTCCAAATTTCGCAAACTACGCAATTGTATAATGAATTTGCTCCGCAACAACTAGCATACTTACGTAATGCATGGCTCCAGATGCTTCACCAGAGGATGAAAATTTACCTTGGTGCTATAACTAAATAATTAACTTCGTTAGTAAGAGAGTTATTAATTGAGTTATTAAGCAGCACCTCATATGCTACCATGGAAATCCCCCGGGCACCATCTACGATACTGTGTCTCCCAGGAATATACACTCTCGCTAAAGAGCTTATTGGCCGGCGGACCGTATATCTTTCCCAAGACCCCATCTGAATAATACATAATATATTGCCAGTCCAGAAATCCGCACAGTATTGACCAGAAACTCATCATAGCATACCTGTAATGCGAAGAAGGTTCTTTGTGACCATGAAATTATTTATTGGACTTTCAGCAGGTCCTTGATCTACTTTGCGTACTCAATATACTCTTGTCAAGTCAAGCTAAGTTACAGTACTAGCTGCTCTATGGTCTACCCAAGCAGCTTCTGGTGACATCATGACCTATTGTGAAATATCTCATATCCAAAATACTGTATGATATTGAATAGCAATGACCCTTCATCAATCCAACTGAGTAACCATAAGTTGGACCGCAGTATACTCGCATACTTGAGCATATAGCATCTGTGATGGGAATGCTTATCGTGAGTTTCTGGAAACAGTCTCTTTTCTTTTTGGCTGCAAATCACGTTCTGTCATCACGGTCGGGGCCGGGTAATGGGAGCTCTGACTGGTCAGCGTTTTACCCGCAGGATGATGTCATGTAGTTAACTTACCAATTGCGAAGTAAAGAAGGCCCAAAAGCCTGATGTATCCGCTGACAAAATATGTACCTGACCAGTCTCCCGCATGCGAATACCTACACACACATCTGCATCGCACATCTTGCTATATTCAGACGCCTTTTTCATCATGCTTGTCTTGCGACGGTACTGCTTTTGACGGATTAATTTTCTTTTAGACAGACGATTGGATCGAGCTCTTTTCAAAGCAGCCATTGGAAGTTGATGTCTTGGGCTTTCTTGAATGAGAGCACTTGTCAGACGGGGGGTCAAGAGTGTATAGGCTGGTTGAAAGGAGAAGCAGAACGAATACAGGCTCTACAGGAAAATCCGGTTGCGAAAAGTAGGTCTATTTGAACTTTCGATAAGGAGAGAGAAAACTGATTACTCTCACAAAAAGAAATTGTGGTCCTGTGTTGTTTTCACGTTATGAAGACAAAAATGGCACGTTAACCGCCCTCGCTAAACTGCGGACACTATATAGGTCTCTGGCTCATTTTCGATAATGGAGTGGGCAATACAATCTTTGTAAACAAATCTGTGACAGGCCAGAATCAATATTCCAATGGATTTTCATTACTGCCCACGGTTAATTAGTGTACAATATAATAGTCAAGCAGGCCACTGATATGTTCAGATCGCCCTCTTTGCGACACAAAATGACTTGCAAGGAAGTACTGTGATCAGTTAATTCTGAGAGACAGTAACCCAAATTCTGACTCCCTCAACTTGAGCTGAGAATAAAGAATTCAAGTGAGGCTGCAGTAGACTGTCGCGCACAAACGGTAAAGGCGACAAATCCCCAAAAGGTGCTGGTTAAAAAATGGCCTGGATTGGCTATTTCGGGAAGTGGATTGCCGGTCCCAAATGGTGGAGGCAGCGGGACACTAAAGAGTATGGCAGAGATAACATCGCGAAAGTGGTCATTTCTCTAGGTAAACAGAGCAGAATGTGGTGCTGATCCCTTTGTACAACTGAGTAGGCAGTGTTGATAACTTCATTTTGCTTTCTGTGAACCCTTTGAGAAAGAACAAGTTTAAAATTATGAGATGGTGAATGAAGAACATAAACGTGACTGATAAGTGGCTAGTTGATCTTGAACGTGCCTGGACTCCACACCAGCCTCATGGCCTTCTTGCCATGTGAACAAACGAACATGTCAATAGTAAATGAAAAGAAGCTAAGTCATTAAACAGGCGTTCAAATTGATGAAACCGGTTTACTGCAGAGTTACGTTCAGTTCACCATCAACAAAGAGACAAAAATTAAGGGGCAGGCGGTGGAACTGTGACAAAAAGGAGGTGGTGCAAGAATATCAGGACCTTCGGTTTAGTTTATTGAAGAGGTTCAACAGATTTCGGTCAACATACTATGAGGAAACGGGGAAATTGTCATGGAACTTCAACGCACTTGGCTGTTCAAAGATGGAATAGTGTAGCAGTGAAACAATTGGCTAACCAAGAGACCTTCCCCACATCAAGCGTAGGTCCGTGCATTTCCTAATACCTGGCCTACCGCCATGCCCTTGATAGTAAATTCTTTCACCTTGCTTGAAGACCACTACTAGCTCCGCTCCATCCTGAGTGATCGGACTAGACCGGAGAAATTGAATATACATTCCTCATGCTTGCTCAGGGATGTTCGTACAAGCAGTCTGTAGACTGGTGTACAGTAGTCCGTTGGGTGCGCCCAGCACTTTTTTCCAAACTATAGTCCTTTGCAGAAGACCAGCGTGCAACTACGCGATATTTCTAGAACCATAAGAGACTGCGAGGTCCGTAGAAGCAATTAATCCCTGTGTGCAATCTATTTTTTATTCGCCTCATACCACGAGCCTTTCAGCCAATCCAAAATATGCACCAAGGCAATGTAGAACACATAGCTACTCCAAGGTGGAGAAAGGAGTACGTAGCAGCCAACCAATAACATTTTAGATCTCTCATTAAGACTATGATTCATTTGTTGTTCTTTTATCCCCCTTGGAGCTACTTATGGTTTGCAGTCAAAGAATGCGAAGACTTGGACGATGCGCTAGACTCTTATCAGCCTGGGCGTTTCGCTGGTAGGTATAACTCAGCTTTGAGGCGAACTGGAAATTGTTTACAGAACGGTGATGTTATGGATAGGCGGTGAATATCGGACCTCACCAAAATTCTGCTGGCAAATCGGTCTCCGCCTTAAAGTGGGAAGTATGACAAATCATCGATCTTGGGCTATGCACCAGGTTGATAGTCCTGCCAGTTTACATAGTCCTGGCTCGCAAGCCTATATCGGCCTATTTACATAGGCCACCAGCCTACGTAGCCCGCCAGCCTGCATAGCCCGCCATCCTATATCGGCCAGGCTACATAGTCCTGACTACATGGACCGCTAGCCTATATGGCTGTGTGAAGGGCTGAAGCAAGACTTGATTCAATCTAACTAGGCCAACATGCTGTTTACAAAAAGCTTAGAGAAGAGAAGGAATGGAATAAGCGGAACAGCGATAGAAGACGCAGGCAAGAGCGGTGGCAGAACGAAACATGCGAGGAA